CACTATGAGAATTACGAAAAATTATTTTGATGATATCATGAAAAGTAAATGATGATGATATATTATCAAATTAATCATCTACCTTCTTTCCCTTTAATTCATTCTCATTTCAGTGCGTACTTTGGATTTAAAAAAGTTTTAGTTAGAGAATTTAAACTGTGGAAGCCACCTACAAGCCGTCCATCTGTACTGCACCAAAAATTGTGGGTGCTTTTTTACGCGTGGCACACACAGTCACCCAACAGCGGGGCATGCAGCAAGTGGCAGAGGACCACCAGTCGTATGAGTTCTCCTCAGAAAGCCTCCTCCAGTCACTCTGTCAACTCCCAATGGCCAAAACCCCACATTCGGTCGACTGCCGACTGGTTTGTTTAGAATTTTAGATTTTAGCGCGTTTTAGAATTTTATGAATGAATTTTTGGCGCTCGGCAGAGCTCTGCCTGCTGGGTAGTGCACCCTTATTCCACACCCACTAGAAATTCGTTAGACCACTCCGATTCGTTTGGGTCGATTCACTTTTAGTTTTTGGTTAGTTTTCGGTTCCCCATTTGTTTTTAGGGGGGGCTGTCGTTGCGACCTTGCCGGGGTGTTCCGGTGTTGTTTAGATTTAGTTTCTATTGGGCTGCTCTTCAGCTGGTCCCTTTTTGCAGTTGGCACAAATCTGATGCATATACACGTGTGGTGCCCTTAGACAAAAGTCGGTCCTGGTGCCTTTATTTTTTTGCTGTCCTTGCATAAGGGTATTGATTTTATGGTAAATGTAGAAGGCTTCGCCACTTTAAAATGACAAAGAAATAAAAACTTATACGGGCCAACTGAGAAAGTTATGTATTTAAAATAGTTTAATATGAATTTTAGGGTGATAAGATAATATGCCTGAAAAATGTTGTAAATAATGTGGGAAATTAAAGGTTGTCTTTGATAAGCGAAGGTGCTGGTTGTCCTCTTTCGGTATGCCTTATTATACAAACTCCATTCTATCTTTGGATTAATATTATTATCTACATGTTTGCCTGTTTTTATAATTCTAAAATATTATCATCAAATTTCTTTATTAAGTCTTAAATCTTTATTTTGTAAAATTCGTCTGTATAACATTTTTGGTATGATTGCGATTTCATACAAGCCATTATGTAAATGTGACCACAAGGGAATGAGAAGATGCAACCTCCCGGAAGTTTCTTAAGAAAAATAAATCAGTTCTTGAACTTAACTGCAAGCATATAGATATGTACTGCAATTCATGTACACACCGTGCATCATCCTCACTAAAACTCAACATATCCCATACCCATTAACAACTCGAATCAAACGAAATGATTTGTAGACCGCCCTTTAAGCTAAACAAAGAGCGCTTTTTGTGCAAAACCATATAAATCACATAAATACATAACGACTGTTATATAATTGCTTATATACTGCAGTACTTTAATAGGTTTTGTTAGATTTTATGCAGGCAAAAATGCGTATTAAAAATGCGTTTGAAAAAAACTGTTGCATACCTGACGGTGCGCGCTCAAATTAACTAACAGGACATTGAAAGTTGCATTGAGAGTAGAGAGAGCAAGGCAAAGTACGAGAGTACGAGAGACCAGCATCCTAGTGAGAGAGGTAACCGAAGTCTAACGAAGTGCGGTGACTAGTGATGAAGGGGCTGCAGTAAAGGGGATTTCAATACTAAATGTAAAGATATCTAGCGGGAGGGAGATGAAGAGAGAGCATTCGGGACTAAGCCGGCAAGAGAGAGCAAACACAAAAGCGAAAGCGAGGACCCGGCATAGGTGCTCATATGTATGTGTGTTTGAGAGAGGGAAGAATGTCAGTGTTTGTGTGTGTGTGTGTCCACACATATTCGTGTGCGTGTGTGTATGCCGCTTTGTCGGCAATTTAAAGAGTAAATAATTGTCTGCCGCCGGCAAACATTTGGCCAAACTGCTAGTCCACAGAATGTGCCACTGTATTGGTATTGCTTGCCATTTTGGGCATCTGTATTGGTGCCGAGTATCGGCTCTTCGTCACCAAACTCTACACAATTTTAGGCGCCGGACGAACGCACTTTCAATCAGTTAACTTTATAACGTCAGCGCCGACACTACGTCATCCGGTCGTATCGTATCGAATCGAATTGAATCGAATCGAGTCCCGGTGTTACGCCCCCAAAAATACAAGTCATTTTGCATTTGTATTCGTTGCCGCGCTACAATTTTCGTCGCGTTTTTACTTTCACGCGACCAATTCGTCGCTTAACGTCAACAATTCGCGTGAAAACGTGTGTCTGCAAAGTGTTTTTGGCAACCTGTATTTACCATGCTAATAGCGTGCTTTTCCCCAAAGAGCCGGCAAATGTGAATAAAGCGCTGGGCAATTGAAAATCTGTGAGTACATAGCACTTTTGGGTACATGCAAATCACTCAAGGGAAAATAATACAGCGATTAGCACTGTTGTTGGAAGCGCATAAAAGTATGCTATTTTTTCTTAATGCCTAAAGTGTGGTCATTGAAAAAACTTGTGAAAATATTTCTTTTACATTATATACGTAAATAATCTAAAAAATAATAATAAAAAACGGTGTAAAAAAAAGACAGATAAGTTTTATTATTTAAAAATGTTTATATCAAAGATTATACAAAATATTTGTGTATTTTAAGTCAGTGTTATTCATGTTTGATATTTTGATCTTAAACGGGGCCTTAAATTAGTTTAAATTATAAGAAATTTAATGGTTGTGATCCATATAAAGGTTTCCAATGATGAACTAAAAGTCGCAGGTTCCTTTATGTTATTTATTCTTAGCTAAAATTTCTTAACTAAATTTTGTTTGTTTGTTGTTAAAGATTACAAAAAAATGTTTGGATAAGCTCAAAAGCAATTTATCCTAAAATTAAATCTTCTTTGTCTCAATTTCTTAATTTTAATATTTCTATAATATTCTTTAAAATCGAAATAGTTTAAAATGATTTTATATTTTTCATTGTCTTACTCACAAAACTACTTGTTTGTACGATGAATCAGAAAGGTTTTTATATTAATATTTATTTAATATTAATTATTATTTATCGATGGAAAGTGTTTGTGTATCACATTCTTTATGCATTATCCAAGCCAATTATGGTATGTTTGTAAAATCTTTACCATACCTTAAAGTCTGAGAAACTTCTTAATTCAGGTAACGCAGATTCCGCGAAATGCCGGCTACTTAATTCGCACACAATCGGGCAATAAATCAGCATTTAATGTGCCGGCATCGAAGTGCGGATTCAACCGACATAACGTCATCGACATCATGTGACCGCGTTTCCGAATTTCCCCGAAAACTTGTGTACGTGCATTGTGTGTGTCGGCCCCGAAATACAAAATACGGAATACAGAATACAGAATGCACGGCGCAGCATAGACGACGGGTCATGGCCACGGCCACGGCCACGGCCACGAATATGGCATTTCGGCGACTCCGGCTGCGGATACAACAACGGCTCCGGCTGCAAACTCCGGCTCTGCCGTGCGTCGCAGTTTCACTTTCACGGCGCAAATACAGCAGCGAGGCGAGGGCGTCGGAGATCTGTGCCGTGGGAGTTATGGGCGTTGCGGGCGCGACTTGCACTCAGCCTCATAGTTCGTCTTTCCCAAATCGGCGGGTGAACAGTCACGGACACGGACACGGCTATGGCCCACCCGAACTGCCAATGACAATGTCGCACAGTGGGAAGAACATCGTTTTATTGGCCATTTTTTGTGGGACAAAAAATATTCTGTATTCTTTACGGAAGTTCTAATAGTTAAGCTCAGCTCTTAATAATATATTGAAATTGACTTATTGGTTTTGCCATTATGTAAACATTTTAACATATTTATTTTCCAATACAAGTAAAATTATTCATCAACATCCAAAAAGTAGGCAATGATTTTCGTATTTTTGGCTTAGGACTATTTTGAAAACTAGTTTAGACATTAATACTTCAAAAATCGAAATGAATATATTTGTTATATGACAGAATGGTACCACTTGTAACACATTCTTTGCCTAGCAGAAAATGTGGGGGAAGGTGTTTGGGCTGTGGAACGGAAATGAGAATGAGACTGTTGACGGTTTGACCGGCAGCAGGATGCGCCGACTTGCTGCATGCTCGTTTCTACCAAATAACCCCGGCACCCCAAAAACCACGACGACGATGACGATGGTGATGCAATGCCTGAATGCCAGTAAGCCGCCGAAGTGCCCACGCACACAGAGCACATACACACAGCACACCATCATCATATCACCACTACTCCCTCCCTCACATGCGCATCGGAGAGTTGCACTTGCCGAACAACTCCCCATGAGCCTTCACCATCGCCGACACCCACCAACAACTTTCCCGGCCGCCTCTTTCCGCCGACACTCTCACTCTCCGATTCAGAAATGTGTGAGTTCTCGGTGTTTACTCGCCGCCGATTGCAGCACAGCCAAGTGCACTGTGAAAAATCTTCCGAAAATTACTCATAACATAACCAAAACTTTTTTGGATTTTAAATTAAAACAATGGGTTATATTGGCCATTTAAAATATTTAAGTACTGATTAAATATTTAAGAAAACTGCATAGAGATTTAAAAAGACGTACTGGTAAATTTTTCTACGTGTATAACTGAGTGCAGTTACCTCTCCATCTGGAGAAGAGAAATGTTTGGGAGTTGGTGTCTATTCGGCCTGGGGAAGCCGGGCATCTGTAGTAGGCTGTGGTAGGCCTTTAGCCGGGAGCATAGGATTGCATAGCATGGCTACGTCATCACCATCGCCATCGTCATCGCCACCGCCACCGTGCCGGAATTCGTGTGCGTGGCCTGATTTCGTCGATTGGCCTTGTGCGGGTTTCAGTGTCAGGAGCGCAGCATCTTTGTTTTGGTTGCAATTGTTGTTGTTTCTGCTGCTGCTGCTCGACTTGGCCTGCATATATGCAAATCACGAACACACACACACACGGAGTGCAGTCCTCGGGTACGGGAGGTCGAGGCACTGTATGCGGGAGCAGGTCCTTTACGAGGTATGTCTGGAGGAATGTGATGTGGGCACTTTGTTCGCCCTTGATGCGTTAGATGGCCAAGTAAACAGAGTTCATAACTGGGTTGTAAAGTGATTCATGTTGAATTTTTATTTTGCCTAACAGTTATTTGGGAAATATTTATCTCTTTTAACTGCTAACTAACTGGTCCTTTTCATGGTAACCACATTAGAAACGCTAATTTTATTCGGTATTAAAAAAACTTGACACTAATAATGAGTTTAGTATTGCAATGAATATTAAGTTGGTAGTTCTGTTTGCTCTGCTACTTAAAACAGTTTTTGGACGGAAACATTCCCACAAAGGTGACTTATTTTATTTCCATTAAAATACAATTATCCGCCATTTAAGGTATTCTCAGATAATCATTATCAAGTAGTCGGCGTGGACTGTAAGGAAAATGAGGCCGTCAGTTGTATGATGATTAAATGTCCGGCTGACAGATTTTGTCCAGCGGAAAACTTTTGTTATAATCCCAAATGTGTTTGCCGAAAAGGATTTCGGCGACATGGTGGAATCTGTGTGCCAAAACACGACTCCCTGCATCTGAGTAAAGCAACTTTGGATACGGCTCTGCTGGAAATTCCCTACAGAGAGTTTTAATTACTATGCCTAATTATTTATTATATTTTATTCAATAAAAATATTTTATTTATGTTTATTTGTTTGGATTTATTCCCCTATCAAATAATATCTATTTATGAACAAATCAATCCAACAGATATTTTTCAGGCAATCTCTTTTCAAAATGGCAAATAAAGTGTGCTTTTTCCAGCCACTTTGAGAGAGAGCAGCAATTGTTGTCTCTCACAGTTTTTACTCGCTTCGTTTTCTGCCGAACTCCCGACTGTAGTTAGACCAACAACTAATGCCCAAATGGGTGGATCGGGGGTATATATATATATATATACATATATTGGGTGGTAATGCCGGCTGCTAAAAACCCGAGAGCCGAGGCATTATGTCTCGCGTGGCGTGGAGAGAAAAGTCAGAATACTATATATCGACGGGACGGTGTAGTCAGTAGTGAAGCTACGCCACACGCCGCCAGGTGGCTCCGATTGTGGATGCGGCGGGTGTTATTCGCGTGTGCATGTGCATGTGCACCTCAGACATTGAACGGTACGAAAAGCCCCCGAGAAACCACCGAAAAAACCCCACCGGAAACCCACACAATACATACTTTTTTTTCCGTATTTCGTTTATTTTTTTCCTTTTGTTTGCTTGTATTTTTCGCCGCGGAGGAGGTGACCTCCAGAATGGGCGGCTGGCAATGCAATTGGCTGCACTTTTCCTTTGTGAGCCCGCCTTGCGTTTTATTGTGTCACGGGTTCGCGCGCAGATGGCAAAGAAAAAAAAAACAAAAAATAAACGACCACGGGCGTTTAACCAAGTGAAAGTCTGTTTATCTACCGGCGAAATTGAGAAAAACTCAAATAAACTATAAATTTAACGCGTTGAAAACTGAAATATGTGTTCTCAATTAGAAACGACACTAATTTACGTGCTTAGTGAAAATCGATATGGCGCAGCCTTTGACTTTTGGCACTTGCGAGTCAGTTTAGAGTGTCCCACACTGCGTATGCGTTATATATTTGTGTAAATTCTCGTTTTTTTCGTCTTAAATTGAATTTATTAAGTGAAAATATCCACGCACTGTCGGTTTAGGTCAGCCCTAACCTAATCTTAATGTACCGACACACTAAATCGCCATATAGTGGGTCGTCATCGGCGAAACCACCCCCCGCCCCCCCTGCAAAATGTATCCCCTTCTCGATTTTTGATTGCTCCTACCTCTCTGACTATCTCGTCCTTTCTCTCTCGCTCTTGTTCTCACACAGCGCGCAGGATTCGCGCTCTTTTTTATCGTCACCTCCACAAATGCAAAATTGCCCGGTGGGTGGCTGTTTAGACGAATGTGTATGAGTGTATAAGAGTCTGTCTGTGTGTGTGTGGGGGTCCTGCTATTCGGCAAGTCAGCTAAAATAACAACAACTGCAGCGGTGTTTTCACTTTCTATTCAAAAGCCTTCTAAGCTTAAATTGTGCTGCAGTTTTTAGTTACCGTTCGTTGGTCTATTTTTGGGGAATCCAAGGATTTACAGTTTTGGTTATTTTCAAGGTGGCTTACTATTTGAGGTGGAAAGTTATTTGACAGAATACCTTTCTTTATGGTTCGCAGTATTTTTAGACATTCTCTGTGACTCAGAAACTCAGAAAGTATCACTAAATAAAAATTTGTTAACTTTTAAAAATAATTTTCTTCGCTCTTGATTATACAACTTTATATTTATTGGTTAATCAGTGCTGTAAGAATTATTTATATTGTTCAAATTATATATCAAAATAACTTAACATATCTTTCATTTCAGTATCCTGACTCTCAACGCACAAGATCCCAACAAATCTCCCAGGATCCCCTGACTAGCTCTTAAACAAACGCACAATGAACTTCACCCCGTTTGGCAACACCTTCCCCGGCAATATTCCCGGCCTGCCACAGTTCACGACGAGCACGGCGCCGCTGGTTTCCACAGTAACGGCGGCCGTAACGGATGTGACTGTAACGGCCACCAATAATCCGCAGCAGCAACAGCAGCAGGATGCTTCCGGTAGCAGCAATCGGTACCAGCAGCAACAGGTAGCCCATTTTGGACAGGCCACTATGACATCCGGCCAAGGTACCAGTGGCAACAACAAGTTTCGTGGAGTCCAGGATGATGCGCTTCAGGGTGACAAGTACAATGGCCACTTGGTGGCTTCCTCCCAGCAACAGCAGCAGCAGCAACAACAACAGCAGCAACAGCAGACGCAATATGCAACTGTTGCATATGCAAGTGCAACGGCAACGAGTGCTACAGCGGATGCCCTGCAGGCAGGAACTTCCGGCCAGCAGCAACAGCAGCAGATGCAACAACAACAGGTCACTGCCCCACAGGAACTTACCCAAGATCTGTGCAACGCCATCCTTCAGCAACAAGGTAAGAATATCGAATAATTGGACTTCCTTCAGAAATTTAAAATTTATCAAATCAATAAAAATAATTTTGTTTGCAGTACTCCAGAATACCTCGTGGCAGACTTTGACGCCAGGAACCACTGTCGCCGACTACCTCTCGCATCTTCCAGCCAACACGCTGCCCCTGTCTTTGCACCACTTCCTCAAGTATTCCGCGGAGACGATCAAGAAAGAGAACCAACAGAATGTGGTTAGTAGCAAAATAAGCTACAACTATACTTCAGGATAGGGAATTAACACATTAACATTCCATTTCAGGTACTGCAGGTGCAGACGGGACCAGCCATTGGGATCAACACCCTGGGCACGACAACCATTAGTATACCTCAGCAGGAGCAATTGACGTTGCAGCCCCAGCAGCAGGCAACGTTGCAGGTGCAGACGCAAGCGGCGGTCACGGCGACAGCGACGACGGCGACTACGACAACGACAGGAGGATCTGGAGGCACTTCCGGCAAGAAAAAGAAGCGCAAAAAGAGGAGCAAGGACCGAAAACCAAAACTTCGACCTGGAGAGATACGCCTGGGAACAGCACTCGATGGCAGTCCGCTGTACATGTGTCCCGAATGTCATGTGGCGTATCCAGAACCAGAACTGCTTGAAGTACACCTGGTGGGTCACAACCTGGAGAAGCGGTACGTGTGCGACATTTGCCAAGCGTCGCTGAAACGCAAGGATCACCTAACCCGCCACAAACAGTCGCACAATCCGGAAAGACCGTACATCTGCACCGTTTGCCTGAAAGCCTTCAAGCGGAAGGAGCAACTGAGCCTGCATTTTGTGATCCATTCGGGGGAGAAGCGCCACCAATGCGGAGAATGTGGCAAGGGCTTCTACCGCAAGGATCATCTGCGCAAACACACCCGCTCCCACATTGCCCGCAGGGTCAAAGCCGAGTTGAATAGTCATGTGCGTCGTGAAAATGGTACCAGTATGTTGCAACCAGTGGTAACGGAAGCGACTACGGCGGCGCTGCAACATGCCAACCAACTGGCCACTGCGCAACAACAATTGCAACAGCAACAGCAGCAGCAGCAGCAGCAACAGCAACAACAGCAGCAGCAGCAGCAACAGCAGCAACATCACATTGTGATCACCCAGCAGCAACAGACAACGCAGCAACAGACTTCGCAGCAGCAGCAGCAACAGCAGCAAATGATAAATTAGCCAAATGATTTTTGTAAAGTCAGTTAAAGCAAAATTCAATTTAGTCTCATCTGAGCCCTCAGCAAGGGCTTGGCTGCTCAAAAACAAAACTCTCTCGGTCCACACAATTTAATTGACTCTCACAAATCGGATAATACAAACAGGAGGATGTTAGCTAATGTCTTCGAGGACTTCCCCATGGGAACGTCCTCAACGTTGTACAATTTTAATCGTAAGTCCACGATGATGATGATAATGGGGACCTTCCACAAGCAAAAGCACACTAACTGGGTTAGAACTTTAAGTATTTGGATTAAATGATTTAGAATTAGACTAAAATACATTTAAATTTACTTAGTAGTTTATTTTTGACTCAGTCAATTCCACTGATCTCTAAATCTTAAAGAAATAAACTTTTTATTCACTAAAATTCGGCATACCAAAAAGTTTGCTTAGTAAGGTTTTTAACCAAGTATTTAAAATGTGATTTTTCAAAAAGATCTCTCATGTAGCCTTTACGTTAATTTTCTCAATAATGGCAATAGTTAATATAAAGAAAAGAGTGGTCGGTCCCAGGCCTTTGTCCGCCCTAACATTCCATAATCTAATTTAAGACAAATGTGCAAAGGAATAATAATTTTATACGCAATGTATTTTAGTGAAATGTATTTTTCTACAATTAGAATCAATGTTGTATGTCTGTCCAAATGTACATACGCCAGTACGAATACATGGATGTACTGTTTACTGGCAGCGAACTATATATATTTATATAATATGTAAACAAATGCAATTTAGATTTACACTTATATTGTAGGAACGAATCTAAAATTGTGAATGTACGTATAACTTTTTGCTACACCGATAAATCAACCCACAAATCCTTGTAAATATGCAGTAAAATTATATATAATTTGATCTAAACTGAAGAACGGTTATTTTATTTATTACAATATTCTATTTTTCAGATGAAAACAAAATCGAAAACATCAGCGAAATTTATGTTTTGGGGTTATTTATTTGCTTTATTTAGAGTACTCATAAATTACGATTATTATGCACCATTTATTGTAGTCAATTAAATAATTAATCATTAGCATTATCCGTATTATTATCTGTATTCTGTATATGTATATATATCGGGGTGTTACTTTTATATCGTTTTTTGTTTTTATGTACGAGCAATTTTGATTTACTGTCCATGCGTGCGTACTTCACTAAGCTTAACATTATGATGTATTACAAAGTAGGCATTAATTTTATGGGGAAAGGGACGTGGCATGGAGGGGATATTTATTCACGGTAGGAAAGCGGACAGGATGGATCTGATAGCTTATCAAAATTTGTGCTGTATACACAATCAAATCAAAAAAATTCAATAATTAACTCTTTATGGATTTTTAATTTGGGTTCTAGTGATTATACAACGAGGACTTATTAAAAATATAGTTTTGTATTATAATATTTATAGGGATAGCTTTATGTGAGAGTGCAAATGTGTCAAAGCGGAAGTGGCCCAAATCCCATTGCTCAAATTGCAAGGTCGTTTCACGCTCACTTTTCAACATTCAAGATCGTAGATAATTTCTGCGTATTTTTCGTTTTGTTTTTTTTTTTTGGTAAGTTTTGTGTTTCGTTTTCGTTGCGAAAAGAACTGCTAAATCACTGTACAGAGAATGAAGCGTGTCTATGGGCCACACTCTACGGTCCACAGAGAAACTTGCGCTTTTGGTCTTCCATGTAATCGCGTGTGGACATCTGGATGGCCTGCTGTAGCATCTCGCTCTCGTTAACTCCTGTCGTAAATAAATATAAATAGTTAAAATTATATTATCTTTCACGTCAAACAACAATCTTACTCTGTAAAAACTTACCCTCATTTGCGTATGATGCTTCTAGCAATTCCTGGTAGAAGCTGGAGTAATTCTGCTCCATCGGCGACTTCCCATCTCCACCATTTTGTGGCGATCGAGAAGACTGCTTTGAGGTGCAGGGGCGCTGTTCAGCCTCCGGGGTGTTAGCGCGAGCCACTGACGGCACTGAATCACGCTTCGGACTTTTTCTCAGCGGAGCCTCTAAAACCTCGGCGCTGCAAGTTAGGAAGGAACGTAAAACCTCAGTTAACTGGACTACAAGCCTTCACGAACACCAACCTCATGCTAGCCAAAGGCGTCTCGCGAGTCTCGTGGCGTCGCTTCTTTCTGAGGGTGGTAGTGCGCCGCTGTGTCTTTGATCCTTTTCCAGAACGTTGGCTAGAAGCTGTGCTCGGTGATGAGCTACCACCACAGTGTCCCACCGAGCTAGTGCTACTCATATCTGTGGCATCGCTTTCGTAGCCACCCAGTTCGTTCACTTCCGATGGTAACTTGTGGCTAAACTGACTGAGCGTTTTCGGCGACAGGGAAAACGCGGGTGCCGCGGAATCACCACCACTGCCGCTGGTTAAAGATACGGCCTGATTGCCACTGCTGCCGCTGCCCCCACAAACCGAGTATTTTGAGGGCGATGCATCAGAATCTGTCAGGGCCTCCGCCGAAGTAACAGTTGAAGATGTAGCCGATCCTGCAGCTGCGTTGCTGCTGCGTGATCGTTGCATATTCTCGCGGCACCACTGCAAATAGGACTCGCGAGCTATTTGCTCCTCGATAGCTTCATTAGTGGCCTCCCAGTCTGTTGTTTTTAGCTTATCCTCAAACATGGTCTGCAATTTGGAAGGGTTGAAAATAGTATGGCATTTAAGATACGATATTATTATTACATACCTGTTCGATTTCCAACTGTTCACTGAGGCGCACTGCCTCTTTTGTTTGGATCTCGGGCTTGTAACCAGCCAAGCCCAGGCCCACGCCAACGGTGGCGTTGTAGGGATCTAAAATAGCATTGTAGTGTGAGCCGCGCTGATAGGATAAACGCAAAGGCGGATATCCTGCCTGCGACTGTTCTGAGTTAAAGATATTAATAGGATCTGCAAAAAGAAAAAAAAAAGTTTTAGGCATATTCATAGTACAAATGAAATGATCATAAATGGCCTACTTACTTGACTGGTAGCAGTATACTTCAACAGTGCGGCTGTATATCTCAGATATGGCTTGGATCTCAATATGATTACCATGAGCGTCGCGAGCTCGTTTGCGCTGTATATAGCTGTTGATGTCCTCGGTGACAAACTGACCAAAATACTCGCGATTCTCATGCTGCATTAGTAACCATTGTTAAGTATAATTTTTAAAGTGCAGCAAAAATAAACATTACTATATAATCCATTGTGTGTTGGCGGATCACGTCGTGCATCTCCTCGTCACCATATATTTGCAGCGAGATGGAGCGAAAGAGGCAGGCACCATCCTCCTCAACAGGCTTCAGTTCATAGCCGCGTTCTTCCATGCACTTCGCGAACTCGACATCGCGACGTTGCCACTCCTCCACTGGAATCAAGCGCTCCTTGGGCTGACGGTGTTCATCGCCACTGTTATAGCCGGATGTCTCCTCTGCTGATTTCAGTAGATTGTCATCTCCTCCGGCAGCAGGCGACATCTGAACCTGAACTTTGGGTACAGTGGTGCAGCCTAGACCCAAATGTTCGGGTGAGTTCCTGCCCACCGCTGAAGGACTGCTACTGCCAGAAGTCGAAGCCAACGGTGGGCTATTGCACTTGTTGCCAGATGAGCCGGGTCCTCCACTGCTTGCCGCTGCCGCCGGATGGTTTAATTTTTCACGCTCAAGACGATCGCGTTTATAGTGGTGGGCGTGAGTTTCGTGGTGGTCGCGACGTTTTGAACGCGTGCTGGGGAAGAGGGAAACCCGTTAACGATAAAATCCAAATAAAAGTTGTATACAAATTTAGGATTTTTAAAAACTGAACGCCAACTATTGATTTTATACCATTTTATCGAGTTTAGGTTTCAAATCAAACTTCTAAGTGAAATCTAGATTGTCAAGAGTCTATGACTATAATTTCCCTTGAAAGTTCGAACAAATATTTTTTAAGGCTGCAAGGAATATCTTTAGAAAAGTATTACAATTCTGTGACAAGTTAGTAGGACAACAAAGAAAACATGGATTAAAATGGCATAACTTTCTGTTTTTCCTAAAAATGCAAAAGAAAATTGAAAAAGACTTAATGATTAACAATCATTAAAACTTTCATTAAAAACTTTGAAACAAAATCATATGCCCATTTATAAAAAATATTCCTTTTTAGAAATCGTTCAACTATTACCAAATATTTAGAGGAAGAAAATAAACTGCATGGTCACGCTAGAATTTGAAATCTTTCGGAAGGACCCATTAAAAATCTTTTACTTACTTTACTTTGTATAATAGGTCATGAACCAAGAAAGGCAGGGAAAATCCCCTTTCTTGCAGCTCTTAGGCAAGTAAACCAATTAAATGCAGCTGGTAAGGGGCGTGGAACACCCAATAAGCTCATTGCTATAACTTACCTCTTGTGTGGGCTGCAGCGATGGGTGCGTGCCAGTTCGTCATAGACTTCGCTACGCCTCTGAGGACTCTGAAAAGGAGGCGGTAAAATGGAGCAAATCAATAGGTAACTCTAGGTTGGAATTTATAACGCTGCCCCACTCACCTGTCCATGACCGTCGATGACGACGTTGCGATGGTTGTGGCTAAGGGTATGATTGTGGGTCTGACTGACCACCGACTGTTCGACCACAACCACCTGGGCCTCCTTGTTATCCGGATCCACATTACCAGCCACGCGTTTCGCACTTGGTGGTGCGCTCACTGGCTTGATTGTCATGGTGGTGCGTTGTTATTTTTGTGTCCCTAGCCGTGTTTTCTCCTTTGTTGCAAGTTATCGTATAAACTTAATACTTTTTTTGAGGGGGCGAAAAGCGAGCGTCATTAACAGACACCTTTGGATTCGTAATCGTCGCGTTGCACACTCAACTCTTGTAAAACTATGTGTTCTTTGTCCCGAGATGTCGTCGCAGAAAATGCGACCACAGTGGTTCCTTTCACCCACTGAACGGAGTTTCTCTTTTTTCCGTATAGAAAAAACTATGCGGAGTTATTTCAAGATAGATGTGTGCTTTAATATTTCGTTTCTAATTGTGTCAACAAATCGATGACTGCTTGGTTTTACAGAACAAAAAAATAGAAAATGACAATTTCCAGATTTTCATCTGTTTGTGCAAGTGTGTGTGTGAGCAGTGTTTGCTATTGCTCACATTTATTGTTGTTGCCTCTAAACTCCGCGATTAAAGTCCGCTACTTCTTATCATTATGATTAAGCGATTTGCAGAAGATCTTTCTCACTATCTACTAACTTTTTCGGGGGTTTTAGATTGTTGATAATCCTGTAATTCGATTTTTTATTTTGTGCACGTTGTCCAGTGTGACCGCGGCTTTTCGACATGAAAATATTATTTTAGACTTATTTGGTATTTAAGACATTTTATTACAAGAATACCCCTAATGTTTAGATATTTTTTGCGCGCGATTTTTTAAAAGTAATTTATGTTATAACTTATAAACCTTGTCTTAAACCTTACTTAAGTGTCTTTTGAGAAATCAATATTTAAAAATTATTTGTATTCACTTCTATATTAAAATATTTACCAATTTTAGGTAACGTCAATGAACAATTCTTAAATACTTATGTTTTTATAGTTAAGAGCGCAGTTGAGAAATAAGATTTTAAATCATATAAAAAATAAACGAATTCTCAAATAGCTCACTGAAAAAAAATAACAAAAACCGTTTATTACGTAGACATGTACCACGCAGGTTGGTGACTCTTCGTCGTTAGAAATTAAGCTTTAAAACATATGCGCAAATATTTGCAGTCGGAGATCAACATTAGACTTTTTTCAGATGGTATAAAACCCCAAAGCACTTTATTAATATTTTAGTCCCTACGAGTATTTTACCGAAACATGAAGGCAGAGGTTTTATTTGTTATTTTTGCGGTGGTACTGGTGGCATTATCATGCGCCAACGCCCAAGGTTCCACAACTACTGAAGCCCCCGAAACCTCGACTGAATCTCCTTCAGTCCCGCAATGGTCCTGGACGGATTTTATAAAGTTTTTCAACAGCAGCACTAGTGGAAACAAATTTTACTTTTTCTTCTAAAATTCTTTCTAATTTCTCCTTTTCCAATAAATAAAAATACACAACGAATCCAATGTAAAAATGCGGAATAAATATTTTACATCCTTCTCATTGTTTAAATATACAATAAATTTGTTTTAAAACCGAAAAAAAGAAGAAGCACTACCTTAAAAAGTAATAAAGATTATTTATTGAACTGATATTTTTGGTTAAAAATTGGTATTACTAATATCCAATATATATGGCTGACATGTTTCCTAACACTTAATTGTCGTTATCCCAAAAATAAAACTATTTTATAATATTCGTATGCATATATTTTACAATCTTATAAAGTCATAAGCCACTTTATTCTGGCCTTATCCATTTACACAGACCAACTTTAATATTGATTGCTCCAACCGCCCCATCCGCTTCCATATGGACGCCATCCATATCGCCAGCTCGGTCTGGCTCCAACGCCCACCCAACGTCCATTGCCCCACCAGTAGGGATACTGTCCGGTTGCGCTCCCAGAGCCACCTTGGATAGTAGTTGCGTCACTAGAACTCTCCAATCCAGCCAAATTCTGGCCATTTACGGATATGGCTCCATTATTCACGATTCCGTTGTCTTGAGATGCCCTCCAGGAATTTAAGTTCTGCGACTGTTCATCATTAATGGTCTGGCCTCGGGATAGCCGTAATTGAATTTCGGGAGATGCCTGGGCGCTAGACCTGCCACTGGGGAATCCTGAGCGTTGGGACCAGGATTGTGCTCCTCGAGATTCGACTGCACCTATAATAGAACCGGAAAGAGATGAACCATCACTGGGGTTTGTCTCACCATCAGTGGTACTTCTTTTAATCAGCTTCGACCAAGAATTCGTTGAGTCTCCGCCGCCAACAGAGATGCCTGCATTGATGGAAGGCACAGTCAAGCGAATGGGATTTGATGTTTTCTTTGACGAGCTAGACCAGGAGTATTTAGTTTCAGTTTTAGGTTCCGATGATGTTTTTGTCGTAATGGTTGTAGATGTAGTTTTGCTTGAAGTAGAACTAGACTTCCCACTTGACTGGGGAACTTCTGAGTTGTTTGAAATATACGTTTTTAAGGTTTTAGTCGATGCTGAGCTTGATTTTCCACCATTAAACGCTATGCTGGCATCAATTTCCGGCAGAGTATCCGACAGTTTACTTCCTTTGGTCGATGTTGAAGTAGTTGTTGTTGAGGATGTTGAGCTTGACTTTCTTCCATTGAGCGAAATTCCGCTATCAATTTTTGGAAGAGAAATCTTTGGTATAATCTTAGTTGAGCCTGACACTCCACCATTAATCGCTATGCTTGCGTCAACTTCCGGTAGCGAAAGGATATCTGACGATTTACTTCCCTTAGTGGATGTTGTTGTCGTTGAGGATGTCGAGCTAGACTTTCCGCCATTAGCCGCTATGCTGACATCAACTTCCGGCAGGATATCTGACAATTTACTTCCTTTAGTAGATGTTGTTGTGGTTGTTGTTGTAGATGTTGAGCTAGATTTTCCGCCATTAAGTGAAATTCCTGCATCAATTTCAGGCAGAGACAGTCCAATCTTTTCGGTCTTAGACAATATTGATCCTGAGATTCCGCCATTAGTCGAAATGCTCGCGTCAACTTTCGGTAGTGAAAGGATATCAGACGATGTTGTTGTAGTCTTCGTGGACGATGTTGAGCTTGACTTTCCGCCCTTCAGAGAAATTCCAATCTTTGGAAAGGTCTTGGCAATTTTAGTCAATGTTGAGTCTGACTTATCGGCATTAACCGCTATGCTGGCATCAACTTCTGGTTGGATATCTGACAATTTACTTCCTTTAGTAGATGTTGTTGTGGTTGTTGTTGTAGATGTTGAGCTAGATTTTCCGCCATTAAGTGAAATTCCTGCATCAATTTCAGGCAGAGACAGTCCAATCTTTTCGGTCTTAGACAATATTGATCCTGAGATTCCGCCATTAGTCGAAATGCTCGCGTCAACTTTCGGTAGTGAAAGGATATCAGACGATGTTGTTGTAGTCTTCGTGGACGATGTTGAGCTTGACTTTCCGCCCTTCAGAGAAATTCCAATCTTTGGAAAGGTCTTGGCAATTTTAGTCAATGTTGAGTCTGACTTATCGGCATTAACCGCTATGCTGGCATCAACTTCTGGTTGGATATCTGACAATTTACTTCCTTTAGTAGATGTTGTTGTGGTTGTTGTTGTAGATGTTGAGCTAGATTTTCCGCCATTAAGTGAAATTCCTGCATCAATTTCAGGCAGAGACAGTCCAATCTTTTCGGTCTTAGACAATATTGATCCTGAGATTCCGCCATTAGTCGAAATGCTCGCGTCAACTTTCGGTAGTGAAAGGATATCAGACGATGTTGTTGTAGTCTTCGTGGACGATGTTGAGCTTGACTTTCCGCCCTTCAGAGAAACTCCAATCTTTGGAAAGATCTTGGCAATTTTAGTCAATGTTGAGTCTGACTTATCGGCATTAACCGCTATGCTGGCATCAACTTCTGGTAGGATATCTGACAATTTACTTCCCTTAGTGGATGTTTTTGTTGTGGTTGTCGTTGAAGATGTCGAGCTTGACTTTCCGCCATTAAGCGAAATGCTGGCTCCATGTTCGGGCAGAGAGGTTTTACTTCCTTTGGTGGACGTTGTAGTAGTTGTCGTAGACGATTTTGAGGTGGATTTTCCGCCATTAGATACTACGGTGACAGGAAGAGCCACGGTATTTGACTGATCACTACCATTAGTGGTGGTAGTAGTTGTTGTTGTTGAAGATCTCGTGACTTTTCCTCTTTTACTTACGGAACTTTTCTTTGTTACTTTAACAACAGGGGAAGACGATGCGCCAACTAGGCTTTCAGAGGTAATCGTTGTTGTGGTGACCTGATTTGAGCTTTCATCGTCGTTCAAAGGACTACCTTGTGTGATTTCTGCAAGGGGGTCTGATGATGTCCTGGTTTCACTATCGCCTGAAGAAGTCGTTGTTGCCGTAGTCGAAGAAGTCTTTCTTGATTTTTTACCATTGGAAGATTTTTTTGATGAACTCGACCAGGAACGCTTCACCTTAGGGGTCGAAGAAGAGCTTGTCGTTGTGGTTGTTGTGGTTTCACTAAAGCTGGAACTTGATTGCCCATTAGACTTGGGAACTTTTGAGCTCTTTGAGGAATAAGACTTTGTGGTTTTAGTTAAGGTTGAGCTAGATTTGCCACCGTTAACTACAACATTGGCATCTACAGCAGGTAAAGTTGAACTGGACTGATCACTACCATTGGTGGAGGTGACAGTAGAAGTTGACCGTTTGACCTGTGGTGTCGAGAAAGAGCTTGTCGTTACAGTTGTTGTAGATTCGCTAGAACTGGAGTTTGATTGTCCTTTTGACCTAGGCAGCCTAGAAGTCTTCGAAGAATAAGTTTTAGTAGTTTTATTCGAGGTTGAGCTGGATTTGCCGCCTTGTGGGACAACACTGGCATCTGCTACAGGCAAAGAAGAATCGCTTCTACTGGCTGAGGAAGTTGTTGTACTAGTAGATGACTGGCTAGAATTGGCATCATCGATTGATCCATTTCCTTGGATGGCATCAACTGCATTATCAGTTACCGAGCCAGACGATTCTGCTCCATCAGCAGAATAACTATTTTTTCGTGATGTTGAGGTCGACCGTTTCGTCCAATATTTCTTAGACCTGCCACCGTTTGAAGTTTTCCTGGATGAACTAGACCAGGAGTATCCGATCTGAGGCGTAGAGGATGAGCTCGTCGTTATGGTTGTCGTAGATTCGCTAGAGCTGGTCTTTGGTTTACTATTTACTTTGGGAACCTTGCCTGTTTTCGACGAATAGGATTTTGTGGTTTTCGACCAACTAGACCTTGATTTACCGCCCTTCACAACTTTCCAGGGATCTACTGTTAAGGATGAGCCACTTGGTAGATCACTTCCATTACTGGATGATGTAGTGGATTTACCGATTGAGGGGGATAACTGACCAGAATTACCCTGAGCTCCCTGAGATACTTTTACAACCGGCGCTGACGCTCCGATAGAGCTGCTGGATTCGCCTACATCAGAGGATGTCGTTGTAGTTGTGGTTGTTGTGGAGGAGGACTGGCTGGAGTTTCCAGCAGCATTCGAAGAGGTTCCTTTAGTAGCTTCTACGACTGGATCAGACGAGGTGGTTGTAGTGGTGGTTGTGAACGAAGTCTGAGTAGAGTTTCCATCACCATTCGATCCCTGAGTGACTTCTTCGATTGGGACAGATGAGCTGGTGGATTGGCCGTCATCAGAGGATGTCGTTGTAGTTGTGGTTGTCGTGGAGGAGGACTGGCTGGAGGTTCCAGCAGCATTCGAGGAAGTTCCTTCAGTAGCTTCTTCGACTGGATAAGACGAGGTATTGGTAGTGGTGGTTGTGGACGAGGTCTTAGTTGAGTTTCCATCACCATTCGATCCCTGAGTGACTTCTACGACTGGGACAGATGAGCTGCTGGATTGCCCGTCATCAGAGGATGTCGTTGTAGTTATGGTTGTCGTGGAGGAGGACTGGCTGGAGGTTCCAGCAGCATTCGAAGAGGTTCCTTCAGTAGCTTCTACGACTGGATCAGACGAGGTGGTTGTAGTGGTGGTTGTGGACGAGGTCTGAGTAGAGTTTCCATCACCATTCGATCCCTGAGTGACTTCTACGACTGGGACAGATGAGCTGCTGGATTGGCCGTCACCAGAGGATGTCGTTGTAGTTGTGGTTGTCGTGGAGGAGGTCTGGCTGGAGTTTGCATCAGCATTTGAGGAAGTTCCTTCAATAGCTTCTTCGACTGGATCAGACAAGGTGGTTGTAGTGGTGGTTGCGGACGAGGTCTGAGAAGAGTTCCCATCACCATTAGATCCCTGAGTGACTTCTACGACTGGGGTAGAGCTGCTGGATTGGCCGTCATCAGAGGATGTCGTTGTAGCTGTGGTTGTCGTGGAGGAGGACTGGCTGGAGGCTCCAGCAGCATTCGAGGAAGTTCCTTCAGTAGCTTCTACGACTGGATCAGACGAGGTGGTTGTAGTGGTGGTTGTGGACGAGGTCTGAGTAGAGTTTCCATCACCATTCGATCCCTGAGTGACTTCTACGACTGGGACAGATGAGCTGCTGGATTGGCCGTCATTAGAGGATGTCGTTGTTGTTGTGGTTGTCGTGGCGGAGGACTGGCTGGAGTTTGCATCAGCATTCGAGGAAGTTCCTTCAATAGCTTCTTCGACTGGATCAGACGAGGTGGTTGTAGTGGTGGTTGTGGACGAGGTCTGAGTAGAGTTTCCATCACCATTCGATCCCTGAGTGACTTCTACGACTGGGACAGATGAGCTGCTGGATTGGCCGTCATCAGAGGATGTCGTTGTAGTTGTGGTTGTCGTGGAGGAGGACTGGCTGGAGGTTCCAGCAGCATTCGAAGAAGTTCCTTCAGTAGCTTTTACGACTGGATTAGACGCGGTGGTTGTAGTGGTGCTTGTGGACGAGGTCTGAGTAGAGTTTCCATCACCATTCAATCCCTGAGTGACTTCTACGACTGGGACAGATGAGCTGCTGGATTGGCCGTCATCAGCGGATGACGTTGTAGTTGTGGTTGTCGTGGAGGAGGACTGGCTGGAGTTTGCATTAGCATTCGAGGAAGTTCCTTCAGTAGCTTCTACGACTGGATCAGACGAAGTGGTTGTAGTGGTGGTTGTGAACGAAGTCTGAGTAGAGTTTCCATCACCATTCGATCCCTGAGTGACTTCTACGACTGGGACAGATGAGTTGGTGGATTTGCCGTCATCAGAGGATGTCGTTGTAGTTGTGGTTGTTGTGGAGGAGGACTGGCTGGAGTTTCCAGCAGCATTCGAGGAAGTTCCTTCAGTAGCTTCTACGACAGGATCAGACGAGGTGGTTGAAGTGGTGGTTGTGGACGAAGTCTGAGTAGAGTTTTCATCACCATTCGATCCCTGAGTGACTTCTACGACTGGGACAGATGAGCTGGTGGATTGGCCGTCATCAGAGGATGTCGTTGTAGTTGTGGTTGTTGTGGAGGAGGACTGGCTGGAGTTTCCAGCAGCATTCGAAGAGGTTCCTTCAGTAGCTTCTACAACTGGATCAGGCGAGGTGGTTGTAGTGGTGGTTGTGGACGAAGTCTGAGTAGAGTTTTCATCACCATTCGATCCCTGAGTGACTTCTACGACTGGGACAGATGAGCTGGTGGATTGGCCGTCATCAGAGGATGTCGTTGTAGTTGTGGTTGTTGTGGAGGAGGACTGGCTGGAGTTTCCAGCAGCATTCAAAGAGGTTCCTTCAGTAGCTTCTACAACTGGATCAGACGAGGTGGTTGTAGTGGTGGTTGTGGACGAAGTCTGAGTAGAGTTTCCATCACCATTCGATCCCTGAGTGACTTCTACGACTGGAACAGATGAGCTGCTGGATTGGCCGTCATCAGAGGATGTCGTTGTAGTTGTGGTTGTCGTGGAGGAGGACTGGCTGGAGGTTCCAGCAGCATTCGAAGAAGTTCCTTCAGTAGCTTCTACGACTGGATCAGACGAGGTGGTTGTAGTGGTGGTTGTGGACGAGGTCTGAGTAGAGTTTCTATCACCATTCGAGCCCTGAGTGACTTCTACGACTGGGACAGATGAGCTGGTGGATTGGCCGTCATCAGAGGATGTCGTTATAGTTGTGGTTGTCGTGGAGGAGGACTGGCTGGAGTTTCCAGCAGCATTCAAAGAGGTTCCTTCAGTAGCTTCTACAACTGGATCAGACGAGGTGGTTGTAGTGGTGGTTGTGGACGAAGTCTGAGTAGAGTTTTCATCACCATTCGATCCCTGAGTGACTTCTACGACTGGGACAGATGAGCTGGTGGATTGGCCGTCATCAGAAGATGTCGTTGTAGTTGTGGTTGTTGTGGAGGACTGGCTGGAGTTTCCGGCAGCATTCGAAGAGGTTCCTTCAGTAGCTTCTACGACTGGATCAGACGAGGTGGTTGTAGTGCTGGTTGTGGACGAAGTCTGAGTAGAGTTTCCATCACCATTCGATCCCTGAGTGACTTCTACGACTGGGACAGATGAGCTGGTGGATTGGCCGTCATCAGAGGATGTCGTTGTAGTTGTGGTTGTTGTGGAGGAGGACTGGCTGGAGTTTCCAGCAGCATTCGAAGAGGTTCCTTCAGTAGCTTCTACGACTGGATCAGACGAGGTGGTTGTAGTGGTGGTTGTGGACGAAGTCTGAGTAGAGTTTCCATCACCATTCGATCCCTGAGTGACTTCTACGACTGGGACAGATGAGCTGGTGGATTGGCCGTCATCAAAGGATGTCGTTGTAGTTGTGGTTGTTGTGGAGGAGGACTGGCTGGAGTTTGCATCAGCATTCGAGGAAGTTCCTTCAGTAACTTCTACGACTGGATCAGACGAGGTGGTTGTAGTGGTGGTTGTGGACGAAGTCTGAGTAGAGTTTCCATCACCATTCGATCCCTGAGTGACTTCTACGACTGGGGTAGAGCTGTTGGATTGGCCGTCATCAGAGGATGTCGTTGTAGTTGTGGTTGTCGTGGAGGAGGACTGGCTGGAGTTTCCATCAGCATTCGAGGAAGTTCCTTCGGTAGCTTCTACGACTGGATCAGACGAGGTGGTGGTAGTGGTGGTTGTGGAGGAAGTCTGAGTAGAGTTTCCATCACCATTCGATCCCTGAGTGACTTCTACGACTGGGACAGATGAGCTGGTGGATTGGCCGTCATCAGAGGATGTCGTTGTAGCTGTGGTTGTTGTGGAGGACTGGCTGGAGTTTCCGGCAGCATTCGAAGAGGTTCCTTCAGTAGCTTCTACGACTGGGACAGATGAGCTGCTGGATTGGCCGTCATCAGAGGATGTCGTTGTAGTTGTGGTTGTTATGGAGGAGGACTGGCTGGAGTTTCCAGCAGCATTCGAAGAGGTTCCTTCAGTAGCTTCTACGACTGGATCAGACGAGGTGGTTGTAGTGGTGGTTGTGGACGAAGTCTGAGTAGAGTTTCCATCACCATTCGATCCCTGAGTGACTTCTACGACTGGGACAGATGAGCTGGTGGATTTGCCGTCATCAGAGGATGTCGTTGTAGTTGTGGTTGTTGTGGAGGAGGACTGGCTGGAGTTTCCAGCAGCATTCGAAGAGGTTCCTTCAGTAGCTTCTACGACAGGATCAGACGAGGTGGTTGTAGTGGGGGTTGTGGACGAAGTCTGAGTAGAGTTTCTATCACCATTCGATCCCTGAGTGACTTCTACGACTGGGACAGATGAGCTGGTGGATTGGCCGTCATCAGAGAATGTCGTTGTAGTTGTGGTTGTCGTGGAGGAGGACTGGCTGGAGCTTCCATCAGCATTCGAGGAAGTTCCTTCAGTAGCTTCTACGACTGGATCAGACGAGGTGGTGGTAGTGGTGGTTGTGGAGGAAGTCTGAGTAGAGTTTCCATCACCATTCGATCCCTGAGTGACTTCTACGACTGGGACAGATGAGCTGGTGTATTGGCCGTCATCAGAGGATGTCGTTGTAGTTGTGGTTGTTGTGGAGGACTGGCTGGAGTTTCCGGCAGCATTCGAAGAGGTTCCTTCAGTAGCTTCTACGACTGGATCAGACGAGGTGGTTGTAGTGGTGGTTGTGGACGAAGTCTGAGTAGAGTTTCCATCACCATTCGATCCCTGAGTGACTTCTACGACTGGGACAGATGAGCTGGTGGATTGGCCGTCATCAGAGGATGTCGTTGTAGTTGTGGTTGTCGTGGAGGAGGACTGGCTGGAGGTTCCAGCAGCATTCGAGGAAGTTCCTTCAGTAGCTTCTACGACTGGATCAGACGAGGTGGTTGTAGTGGTGGTTGTGGACGAAGTCTGAGTAGAGTTTCCATCACCATTCGATCCCTGAGTGACTTCTACGACTGGGACAGATGAGCTGGTGGATTGGCCGTCATCAGAGGATGTCGTTGTAGTTGTGGTTGTCGTGGAGGAGGACTGGCTGGAGGTTCCAGCAGCATTCGAGGAAGTTCCTTCAGTAGCTTCTACGACTGGATCAGACGAGGTGGTTGTAGTGGTGGTTGTGGAGGAAGTCTGAGTAGAGTTTCCATCACCATTCGATCCCTGAGTGACTTCTACGACTGGGACAGATGAGCTGGTGGATTGGCCGTCATCAAAAGATGTCGTTGTAGTTGTGGTTGTTGTGGAGGACTGGCTGGAGTTTCCGGCAGCATTCGAAGAGGTTCCTTCAGTAGCTTCTACGACTGGATCAGACGAGGTGGTTGTAGTGGTGGTTGTGGACGAAGTCTGAGTAGAGTTTCCATCACCATTCGATCCCTGAGTGACTTCTACGACAGGGACGGATGAGCTGGTGGATTGGCCGTCATCAGAGGATGTCGTTGTAGTTGTGGTTGTCGTGGAGGAGGACTGGCTGGAGCTTCCATCAGCATTCGAGGAAGTTCCTTCAGTAGCTTCTACGACTGGATCAGACGAGGTGGTGGTAGTGGTGGTTGTGGAGGAAGTCTGAGTAGAGTTTCCATCACCATTCGATCCCTGAGTGACTTCTACGACTGGGACAGATGAGCTGGTGGATTGGCCGTCATCAGAGGATGTCGTTGTAGTTGTGGTTGTTGTGGAGGACTGGCTGGAGTTTCCGGCAGCATTCGAAGAGGTTCCTTCAGTAGCTTCTACGACTGGATCAGACGAGGTGGTTGTAGTGGTGGTTGTGGACGAAGTCTGAGTAGAGTTTCCATCACCATTCGATCCCTGAGTGACTTCTACGACTGGGACAGATGAGCTGGTGGATTGGCCGTCATCAGAGGATGTCGTTGTAGTTGTGGTTGTCGTGGAGGAGGACTGGCTGGAGGTTCCAGCAGCATTCGAGGAAGTTCCTTCAGTAGCTTCTACGACTGGATCAGACGAGGTGGTTGTAGTGGTGGTTGTGGACGAAGTCTGAGTAGAGTTTCCATCACCATTCGATCCCTGAGTGACTTCTACGACTGGGACAGATGAGCTGGTGGATTGGCCGTCATCAGAGGATGTCGTTGTAGTTGTGGTTGTCGTGGAGGAGGACTGGCTGGAGGTTCCAGCAGCATTCGAGGAAGTTCCTTCAGTAGCTTCTACGACTGGATCAGACGAGGTGGTTGTAGTGGTGGTTGTGGAGGAAGTCTGAGTAGAGTTTCCATCACCATTCGATCCCTGAGTGACTTCTACGACTGGGACAGATGAGCTGGTGGATTGGCCGTCATCAAAAGATGTCGTTGTAGTTGTGGTTGTTGTGGAGGACTGGCTGGAGTTTCCGGCAGCATTCGAAGAGGTTCCTTCAGTAGCTTCTACGACTGGATCAGACGAGGTGGTTGTAGTGGTGGGTGTGGACGAAGTCTGAGTAGAGTTTCCATCACCATTCGATCCCTGAGTGACTTCTACGACAGGGACGGATGAGCTGGTGGATTGGCCGTCATCAGAGGATGTCGTTGTAGTTGTGGTTGTTGTGGAGGAGGACTGGCTGGAGTTTCCAGCAGCATTCGAAGAGGTTCCTTCAGTAGCTTCTACGACCGGATCAGACGAGGTGGTTGTAGTGGTGGTCGTGGACGAAGTCTGAGTAGAGTTTCCATCACCATTCGATCCCTGAGTGACTTCTACGACTGGGACAGATGAGCTGGTGGATTGGCCGTCATCAGAGGATGTCGTTGTAGTTGTGGTTGTCGTGGAGGAGGACTGGCTGGAGTTTGCATCAGCATTCGAGGAAGTTCCTTCAGTAGCTTCTACGACTGGATCAGACGAGGTGGTGGTAGTGGTGGTTGTGGACGAGGTCTTAGTTGAGTTCCCATCACCATTCGATCCCTGAGTGACTTCTACGACTGGGGTAGAGCTGTTGGATTGGCCGTCATCAGAGGATGTCGTTGTAGTTGTGGTTGTCGTGGAGGAGGACTGGCTGGAGTTTCCATCAGCATTCGAGGAAGTTCCTTCAGTAGCTTCTACGACTGGATCAGACGAGGTGGTTGTAGTGGTGGTTGTGGACGAGGTCTTAGTTGAGTTTCCATCACCATTCGATCCCTGAGTGATTTCTACGACTGGGACAGATGAGCTGCTGGATTGGCCGTCATCAGAGGATGTCGTTGTAGTTGTGGTTGACGTGGAGGAGGACTGGCTGGAGTTTCCAGCAGCATTCGAAGAGGTTCCTTTAGTAGCTTCTTCGACTGGATCAGACGAGGTGGTTGTAGTGGTGGTTGTGGACAAAGTCTTAGAAGAGCTTCCATTGAAAGCAGAGTCTTGATTTGATCCTTGTGTTGTTGTTTTAGAACTCTCATCGGAGAGTGCTAGTTGTTTTTTTCCGTTGGCACAATTCACATAATTTGGATTTCCGAGCAGTTCTCCGTCGTGCAAAAGAAGCAACTTTCCGAAAAGTCTGTCAAGCAGCCATAGGCGTATATCCTTTCGAATTTCAATTAGAGTTTGTCGAACACTTTCACAACATGGCTGAGCCTTAATATCCTTGGTGGCCACCGCAGTAACTGATTTAGTTTCGGATTGGGCCGCTGCGAGGGCTAGATAAGCGGCAAAAAGCGCGACGAGAAACAAGCGCATGATCCTCCAAAAAACCGGGAGTCGGATCAATTAGATCTGTTGGCCAAATTTAAATTTCGAAACCTTTTATACCTTGGGGCTTGGGGTCTTGTTATTTTTTGGCTATTTGCGTAGATGCTTGTCTAGCTTGCAAATTTTATTTGTTTAAGAACATTTGGTACTTCTATTGTCCTAATGAAATATACAAAAACTGAGCAAATTGTCTGAACTATACTATACGTCAAAGTAAATATCTATTAAAGAAACAACTGTGCAAAATATTTGTTCTTAGCTTGGCTTAAACACTTGTTAGATATTTTGACTTTACGTAAAACGTTCGCTCGTGTCAAAATTATACGTCAGAGGTGCATTAACCGATTTTTTGAACAATAGCTTTATTTAACCAGCCAGAACTCCGAAAATGTTGAAGACAATGTGTAAGAAAGCCAAAACGTAATTTTTGTTTTTTTTTTTTTATTCATACGATTAAAGATTTAATGATTATGCAAGAAATTATAAGTTTGAACTGTGCACTGTGCCTTCTATTAGTATTCGTCCTTCTCGAAAGGGTGGTGGGGGTGACCAAAGTGGCTGTAAACATTAAAATTCAATATTTATTACTTTTTTTTATATAATTGGGTTTTTATGTAAACATCTAGTTTGAGCTGTTGAAACGCAAATAATATTTTAGGACCATTGTGTTAGCTGTGAAAAACTAAAACTATTTTCAAGCTCCAAAATGTGTTTTAATTATACAACAAAGCAAATAAAGTATGTTAAAACACAAGCAGGAAAGGGTAAACTAATAAAAAAATAGACTAAATCAAGCTTAAATAAACACAAATAATCGAAATAAAAACACGTATTCGCTGAAAATTATGAAAACATACGTTAAACACATGTTCATGTTTATATAGATCTGTAGATCGCTTTTTGAATCTTTTTCTTGTTCGAGTTTCAGGTTCAGTTTTCAATAGGAATAATTTCTCATTTATAGGAATTCTTCTTCATTACTTCATAACTGGCAGATATCCATTTCTTATAGCCTAATACTCATCGTGAAACGGATAGTACTTGTGGCTAGCCTCACTAAATAAAAATAAGTAAAGAGGCGATTTTTAATAGTTATAGAAAGTTTGAATCAAAGGAAACATAAGACGTATATATATCGAAATATAATCCGAAAATGATCCACTTTCAGTTTCGAATTAAACAAATTTAAGCTCCGGTTTCATAAATAATGTAAATAAATAAAGAGGGGATCAACTTACTTGAGCAGGGGCACCAGACGACCGTTGCACTCGAAGCTCTCGATGATTTGGATTTCCTCGGGTGTCAGCTCAAAGTCAAAGACTTGGAAGTTAGACTCAATGCGATCCTTGGTCACAGATTTGGGGATAACGATGTTGGCACGCTGAACCTGGTAACGGATGAGAATCTGTCCAGGAGTCTTCTTCTTCTTGGCAGCAATCTCCTTGATCTGAAAGTGTAAAATAAAAATTTAGATAAATACAACCTTATAAACATAAAAGAGAACACTTACCTTAGCCTCCTCCAGGATAACCGGGTCACCAGGCTTGGCCCATGGGCGGTTGGGGGAACCCAGGGGACTGTAGGCGGTGATCGTAATATCCTTCGATTTGCAGAAATCGATCAGCTTCTTCTGGGTCAGATATGGGTGGCACTCAATCTGGTTGGTTGCTGGTGGGATTTTGGCCACCTCAAGCACGCGCTCAATCTGCTTCCTGTTAAAGTTAGAGACACCAATGGACTTGACCAGACCTTCTTCCACCAGCTTCTCCATGGCCTTCCAAGTATCAACATAATCGACCGGTGAGTACAGGGTCTTACCGTCCTTATCGGAAGGGAACAGTTCGCAGCCCTCCTTGAAGCCCATCGGCCAGTGGATAAGATACAAATCAAGGTACTTCAGCTTTAGGGCACTCAGTGTATTCTCAACTGCTGACTTGACCAGATCCGGACGATGGAAAGTGTTCCACAGCTTGCTAGTGATGAACAGATCCTCACTAAAAAATAACAAAGTTAATACCAGAATCCTAAGAAAAACGAATTATGATTTGGACTTACCGCTTGACAACGCCCTCTTTGATCTTGGCCTCAACACCATCTCCGACCTCATCTTCATTTTGGTAGACGTAGGCACAGTCAATGTGCCTGTATCCGGCATCGATGGCGATTTTTACAGCCTCGGTGACTTCTCCCTTGGGACTCTAGAAGCAAAAATAAATAATATTATATTAAATTGAATTAAATATGGTAACAAAATTGTCAAGGGAAATTAATATTTATTGATCCCCTATTGTATTTAAAGGTGAATTAAATTTTTTTTTTCTATAATATTCCTGGTTTCTAATCTTTCAGCAGACAGTTTTTGGAAGTAATATAGTGAATAGGAAAGAAAGGTCTTTGAGAACTTATCTACATCATACATCAGTACGTCATCATAGAACATTCGAAGCTCTAAACGGAATTTCGCAATTCGTTGTCGAGCAAGGTTTCAGTTAGGAGGAGCGTGATAAGGAAATCAAAAGTTTATGTGTTTGCCTATCTGACACTTGACTTATCAGCCCCCTTGGCTACCGGCATCTTAAACTTGTACTTAGAAATATCATAAATAGTTCAGAGCACTAAAATGTATATTTGACTTAAGCACGTGAATTTCATAAGGGACTATTTCTGAAAATGCTAAACGGATGTATTTTTATTTATGTCATCTTTTTTAAAATCTAATAAAAAATGTATGATTTATATTTTGCGCAATCTTTCACAAAAAGGTGAAAAGGTTTTATTTAATTTGGACATAATGCGTAAATATTACGGAAACTAGACACAACATAATTTATGGGTTGAGTAGCAAGCCTCCTATATTTGTGTTCTACAAATAGTGTACCTAAACTAAAGCAGATAAGAACTATTAGAAAATACCCTTATAATACCCTTGCTAATTAAACGCGGCTTATCAGCGACTTTCCCAACGTAATCTAATATACAGCTTTTCCATTAGAAATTGTAATTACCTTGACGGTTTGAATTAAGAGGGGCGTGTCTTTAATGAATATTCGCAGAACAAACCCATACCCATATTTCTTAAAATCTTTCTTATAAAACTGAAGCAATCTTGTAAAGAAATCTCCCACTTAAGATAAGGAAATTATCAAATACTGTTAGCTGGTAATACTTCCAGAACTTAGTAACTAGGTGCCCTAAATATTCGAATTTTTGTGGGGAATATCAAGTAGTGATGTGGCAAATATTTGCGAAAAGTTTCCACAGTTAAAAGAAGGTAAAAAGGGTCACCTTGGCAAAAAGGTCGTGAAGATCTTCAAACCATATATCATTTTGTGTTTGTGTGAAAGTGTACTAGTAATTAGCATAAACGCTATGAAATATAAGTTATTTTTGTACCAAGTCTGTTAGATTCGACACACCCACACAAATATATAACATTTCGATGTATGGGAATGTATAAATAAAATGACCGACAAAATATAGCCGGCAAACTATCAGCAAAATGACGCGTGTTAATTTTATCCCCTATTTTTTTAAGCATCAGTAGACAAAAAAAAGCCGGGAAGTCGTGGGCAGCGGAAAACTACCCGGCTATCGGAACCCACAAATACAAATGCAATATTTTTGCAAATGTTATAAATTGATTAGTGCAGTTACTAAGTATTCTACTTACACCCCAGGTTCCCAGACCAATGATTGGGATTTCCTTGCCGTTGTTGAATTTAACATTCGGTACAGCCATTTCACTTTCTTTTTGTTTACTTAGTTAGGATTTAAAAATATTTAAAATATACAATTGGGCACCTCTTGATGGCCGCTTTTTTACAAACTGAACGATTCCACCCAGCTGATTGCCGCATTTATAAAGACCGAAAGCTTGTCCGAAATTCTAAAAAGCTTTCGGAATAGGGCTGCATTATTATAACGAAAAAAACAGCTGGGTGATCATCAGTTATGTTTAAAAATTAAAATTTGGGTACAAATTTGTATGTAACAAAAAGTATAAATGCAAATGTTATAAATTATGATTAGTGCAGTTACTAAGTATTCTACCTACACCCCAGGTTCCAAGTCCAATTATGGGCATCTCATTTCCGTTCGAGAAAACCACTTTGGGAAGTCCAGCAATTTCCCTTTGACACCTAATGGTAGGAAAATATATATTAGGTTAAAGGATAATTTCCGCTTTTGATAGAACACATTACCACATAAATCGCTCGACTTTTCCATAATTCCTTAATGTAAATCCAAATGTGGATCGAACCATTTGAATTTTCAATAAAACATTCATGTTTTGGTGATTGCAAAGTGAATTTGTATTATTTGAAACGATTTGACAGATCAGTGGCTACTATTTTAATTTGTTTCTAAACAAAAAATAGCATGATAAAAGTGTATATAAAAATAAAAAGCCACATTTCTGATAAATTTAACATGACAATGGTTTCTAGCTCATGTTTTAATATAAAATCGTATTTCTGTTATTCCTATTGTCTTTAATATTACATGAAACGGCCATGATAGTAAACGTTATTCTTAGACAGAAATTTACAGCAAAACATTTTTATTATATTATCACTAAATCAGAGATTCTATAAGTATATATACTACATATTCCAGTTATGGTGATTGCTTATTTAATGGTGATGATTACAGCAGTAAAAGAACACCCATCAACAGAAAAGGCAACCGTGATCTTTGGTAAAAAAAAAACACTTAACATCCTTTAATAGCCATCTATTTCGAATGTACCGGCTCAAAGGGATGATGGGGGTGGCCATAGGCCCTAGAAATGGACAAAACAAATATTATATGAAAAATTACGAATTTCTGCTTCCAAATAAAACTTACGCCTTCATGGTCATAAAGCGACCATTACAATCCAAATCATGAATACTCTTAGCATCGTCGGCGGCCAGTTCGAAATCCCAGATTCGTTTAAAGTTGTCCATCATGTGCTGCTTGCTCACGGATCTCGGGATAACAATGATACCCGACTGTGTCTGATATCGGAGGAGCACCTGGATTTTGGGGAAAAATAAGAATTTAATTGGTTGGTATAAAAAAGAATTGTACCTGTGCCGGTGTCCTTTCGTATTTCTCAGCTATAGCCAAGATGGTCGGGTGCTGCAGCAGTGGATATGCACCGGGCTTTTCATATGGCGTGTGCCCTGATCCTAAGCAGCTGTAAGCGGTTACAGCAATGGCATTGTCATAGCAGAGAGTAATCAACGACTTCTGACTCAAGTACGGGTGGCATTCAATCTGTAAAACCACGGGCTTTAACTTGGCAAAGCTCAAAAGCCTTGTAATCTGTTGTTCATTAAAGTTGGATACACCAATGGCATGGCATAGTCCCTCATCCACCAGATTCTCCATCGCCCGCCATGTATCCAAGTAGTCAATATCTTCGGATACGGCTTTATTTGTATCCGGACAAGTGGGATACAGATTATCGCCCGATTTATAGGCCATGGGCCAGTGCATCAGGTATAGATCCAGATAGTCCACTCCCAGGTTTCTCATACTTGTCTCACAGGCGGATCTTACCAACTCCGGCTTGTGGTAGGTGTTCCAGAGTTTGCTCGTGATGAAGAGATTATCCCTTCAAAATTTATACTTTTCGATTTCATTTCGATATATGTTGCATGAATTGACTACTTACCGTGTCACTAGGCCCTCATTAATTTTCTCTCGAAGAGCAGCGCCCACTTGGGCTTCATTTCCATATATATGGGCGCAATCAAAATGACGATAGCCTATATCGATGGCATCCTTCACCGCCTGAGTGACGACTTCCGGGGGGCTCTGAAACGGAGAAAAAACACGTGAAAAGGTAATGTGCAACAAAAGCTTTTGGATAACTTTCAAGAGCTTTGACATTGACCGTGAAATGAACATTGCAACTGCATTACTCTACTAGTCGATTATTTAATAACAATAAATTTACGACCACTCACCCGCCAAGTTCCAAGACCAATCATAGGCATATTTTTACCGTTACTCAAAAGAAAATTCGGCGTCGACATTCTGATTTGCTGACCGCCAATGTCCTTTGGCTCCTTGTGAAATAAGTTTATGATACTCGCTTGTTTTTCAAAAGCTTTAATTTGTAATTTACCAAATGAACTAAACTAAAAGGCCTGTTAAACTGTCTACAAACAACGAATCTAGTGACATATATATATGTACGTAAATTGTTTAAATTTAGAAACTTTTGGGCAAGCAAGAGACCTTCGCGAAACATAATCGATTCGCCAAAGGGAAATTTTCAAAAAAATTTATCTAAATTAAATAGAAAATTTGAAATATATTTAAAATCAATTTAGTCATTCGCATAATGTTAATTTAACGTCGTTTCCTATTTTAATTTAAATTATAAGCAAATTTAAAATTTGCGCCAATTTGGCGGTAAAAAAATATAGTTATGCAGTTTAGGAAAACATTAGTAAATTATTACTAGTATAAACCTATTTAAGATTAAATAAAATGGTTAGGGTTGGTAATAAAATATTAATTGATATATACCAGCTTGCTTAATATAATCTTTAAAACCTAAATAGTATTGATAATTATTGTTACCGAGCCATCGAATTTATCGATAGTACCATCTCCAAGTTGTTATCTCTAATATTACCGCCTGCCGTATACAAAAACAATGTTTGGCACAGTAAATAACTATTTATCCGGCGTTTTGCACGCCGCTCAGGATTGTGATGGCGAAACCTTGGGAACGCACCTTTCACTACGAGATGTGCACGTCCAGAACCACAACCTATACATTGCTCAGCCGGAGAAGCTGGTTAATCGTTTCCTGAAGGCGCCACTAGATGAAGTGGTGTCCGCTCACCTGAAGGTGCTGTATCATCTCGCACAAGAGCCTCCTGGCTATATGGAGGCCTATACTCAACAGGCTGCAGCTTGTGGCGCTGTCGTAAGGCTCTTGCAGCAACTAAAGGATGAAAATTGGTGCCTTCCATTGATGTACCGCGTGTGCCTAGATCTGAGGTACTTGGCACAGGCCTGCGAGAAACATTGTCGAGGATTTACACCCGGTCACGTGCTGGAGAAGGCCGCAGATTGTATGATGGCCTGTTTCCGTGTTTGCGCCGCCGATGGACGCGCCTCCGAGGAAGACACTAAGCGACTGGGCATGATGAACCTGGTGAACCAGCTATTCAAGATCTACTTTCGAATCAACAAACTTCATCTGTGCAAGCCCCTCATCCGTGCCATTGATAATTGCATTTTCAAGGACTCCTTTCCGCTGCCCGAGCAGATAACCTACAAGTATTTCGTGGGCAGGAGGGCAATGTTCGACTCCAATTACCAGGCAGCTGTACAGGATCTGTCGTATGCCTTCAGCAACTGCCCGGACCGTTTCGCCAGCAATAAGCGGCTGATTCTCATATATTTAGTACCGGTGAAAATGCTACTGGGTTATCTGCCAAGCAAATCTCTCCTGCAACGCTACGATCTCCTGCTATTCCACGATCTTGCTTTGGCTCTCAAAGCGGGCAACGTGAAACGTTTCGATGAAATTGTTAGGGATCAGGAGATGGTGCTGATCAGAAGTGGAATCTATTTGCTCGTCGAGAAGCTCAAGTTCCTCGTATACCGAAATCTATTTAAGAAGGTTTCCGTCATCCGTGAAACACACCAGTTGGACATGTCTGACTTCCTTTCGGCGCTGCAGTTCGTGGGCTTGAGCGATGTTACTCTAGACGAAACGCACTGCATCGTGGCCAATCTTATTTACGAGGGAAAGATCAAGGGCTACATCTCACATGCTCACAACAAGCTGGTCGTTTCCAAGCAAAATCCATTCCCCTCCATATCCACATAGTGCATTTAATCGATTGTCAGTTTTTAAGAGTAAAAGACTCCGACTTAACCATTGTTTTCATTTTTAATAACTTTTAATGGGATATAAGTATCAATAAAATAATCGTAAAAAGTCGTAAAATAGAACAGAGCTCAAATGGTTTAAATGATAATATTTGTGTTTTCAATTTCGATGTATTTTATATTTCTTGTCTTTGTCTGACCGTGTCGCTTGTTATCGTTACGTTAGATTTAAAATGTGGTCGCACTATTATTTCGGGATAGGTCTTTCGGCCTTCTGGTAACACTAGACACTTTACTCGGAACTTTTAGAAAAGCAGCTAGTCGTAGTTGAGCGAAATTAAACAAATTAACACGAAACTCTCGGCATTACCTGGTAAATGATTTAGAGTCTACCCCGCGCTGTTTGTACAATTAACAAGTGCCAAACAAATATATGTAATTATAAGCTGAAACTTTTACTTAGCCGGCGATGTGTTGTCATTTTTTGCTATCGTAAAATCAATATTACTAATTTTGCTTTGCGTTTACAACGTGACATAACTAAAACGCAAACTTGATAGTGTTTTTGTTTCCATCGCATTGCAGAAATCCGCTGACACAGCAAAAAAACAAAAAAAAAGCGACGAAAGCAGCGCCAAGTCGGCAAATCGCAGAGTACCTGGAATAGTTCGTCCCCAAAAGAGGCTAAACCGAAAAGCAGGCATGTCTGCGCCGGTCATTGTCGAGGCCACGGTCAAGCAAACCGCCACGGTTAGTATTCCGGCATAGTCCCCATTGCGGAAGAGTGGTTTCTAACTTATCTTTACATTCCAGCTGATCTTTATGCATGGCCTGGGTGATACCGGGTAAGTGGGATGACCTGCATTCAAAATAATAGCACTAAAGACTACTCCATCAGAATTCCAATATCTGTCTTCCTTACATTAGGGATTATATAGGAATGTCTCCCATTAAATTCTAATTTTTTTCGAAAATAATATTTTTCTAATAAAAGGTTATTGGGCCCCAGAAAAGTCTGGAATTTTTAAAAGTTTGAAGTATAAATTATTGCGTGGCTTGGTGGTTTGTTCTTATTGTTCTGTAGGGTAAAATAATAAATTTAAATCCCTCAGAGAATACATAAATTAAATACTCCAATGCTTAAAGATTCCAAAAGTAGATTAGAAGTCCTTAGAGAAATAATGAATTCTTAAAGTTAATTTTCAAATCGCTTTCAGCGAGGCCATTTCTGATTGGCAAAGAGATTACAAGTCCAAAGAGAGTTCTTTAAGCCATATGGTTCCTCCATTACTAATGATTAAAAGTCTACATAAAAAAGGGCACATTTTCTTATATGGTTGATTTAATATAGCTAAGTGGCTTTATCAAGCAATGCATTTTTGAGATAAGACCGCTGTTACATACATATTTCCAAAACATTTATTTATTTATGCCACCACTTTACGATGGAACTAAACATAAAAAATATACACAAATATAAATATACACAATTGGAATAGAATTTCTTGAAATAAATTGATTTAAAAGGTGTTCTATTTAATTGACTGGCTAATAAATTTCTTCAAAACAGGAACTAAAAAGATTAGGCTGACAAAAAATAATTTGAAATTCTTACCCATTTGCACGAGTCGTGAGTGCTATTACTATGACCTTTAATTAAACATTCATATGGTTTTACCTATATTAATGAACATGTCCTCTTATAGCCATGGATGGAGTAGCGCCTTGGCCGCCATTCGGCCACCTTTCATGAAGGTCATTTGCCCTACGGCACCCACACAGCCTGTTTCGTTAAATGCTGGATTCCGGATGCCCTCGTGGTTTGATCTGAAGACCCTGGACATCGGCGGGCCTGAGGACGAACCGGGCATTCAGTCGGCCCGCGACAATGTGCACGGAATGATACAGAAAGAGATTAGTGCTGGAATTCCGGCCAATCGGATTGTCCTGGGTGGATTCTCGCAGGGAGGAGCATTGGCGCTGTACTCAGCCCTGACGTACGACCAACCGCTGGCCGGTGTGGTTGCCTTGTCCTGCTGGCTGCCGCTACACAAGCAGTTCCCCGGAGCCAAGGTGAACAGCGAGGAAGTACCGATCTTCCAGGCGCACGGCGACTACGATCCTGTGGTGCCCTACAAGTTTGGCCAGCTGAGCGCCAGCCTGCTCAAGTCGTTCATGAAGAATGTGACGTTCAAGACGTACAATGGACTATCGCACTCGTCTTCCGATGACGAGATGGATGACGTCAAGGTGAGTGGGGCGCACGGACCGCCACTTGGAATTCCCATGGCTATCAAAACGCTAAAGAACTTCATAACGCTCACTCTGCTCTTTTCGATTACAGGACATAATCAGTAAATGGGTAAACTAATTTCCACTGAACCTTAGCACTCTTAGAACGTACGAAAGCCCCCGACCCAGCCCGTTGCATTCCAACGATCACGATCACGAAATACGGAGCAGCTGAACATGATTAAAGCGTATTTAATGTAAATCAAAGCGCAGTAAGAGAGTCACAATGAGAGTAATACGAGTATGCTCTCTCGTAGCCCAATTACGGAAATTATCACTGAATATCAATTCGAAAAGCAATCAATTATACACACAGTAGCTATACCTATTGAAATGCCAAAATGAAGCAATTTGCAAGGGAAATTCGCCTGCACCAGATGTGTCAGAGAATTTAGAACTCACTTTGATATTTGTTCGCTGCTAATTATTTCGGTTTACTTATTTGGGACTTGTTCGTATTTAAATTGAAATTAATAAAGTTATATAATCCAAGAAAAAAAAACAAGAAACTGGAAGCAGCTATCTGAATTGGATCACTTTTTCACCCAAAACCTGAGTGCCATCAACTTTGTGTTGCTCGTTATGGCAAATTTCAGATATTTTAAGGTTTCAAATTCTACTAAACTTTTATTTGTTCATTGTAGCTAACATAAAAGATGATATTTGTTGATTCCATTTTGATTTTATTCTTCGTTTTTTATTTTATTTCATTTCGCACAGCAACAGAAAAACAATCATCTGTAAAGCCGCGGCCCCACTGGCTCAGTTTGATAATTTGCATCCTTCACTTGTTAAACCAATGGCAATAAACAACCCGGTTGTTCAGATTAAATGGCTCCCCTGGGCACTCAATTATATACTTTCTCAGACACCTTTTTTAAACATATTTCACATGCTAAACCCGTAGTCCTGCCGCATCACTCACCATCTTTCATCTATATATTTGCAGACACATTGGGAGAGCCAGAACATGGCTAGAAAGGCGCAATGCTGCCAGATATCATAGTAGCATATCCAATGCTAGTGTAGTGAAGGTTCCTTCCGCAAATCAAAGCTCCTCACCCTAGTCAAGACGTCTCGGGCCAGAACGAGAATTGTATTTTAGTAATTATTTTGTACATACACACGATGAACTTGGTTACCATGAAAGGCTGTCTGTCCTATCACCTGGTGAAATGACAAGAATCTGATTCGCCATACCGAATGGCCAATAAAGTTATTTGATGCTCTCAACTGCAAGGCGAAATTAATCCGAAGAGGGGCCGTCATGTCAGTTCAGCCCAATTAGGTAAATTCCATTTTAAAGATTATAAAAGTAACTGACATTTCCTAAAATATCCAGTGTTGCATTACGAAGGATTTAATGTTATCTTCTACTGTACGGTATATTTTTAAGCCTTGGTATATTTTGTTTTTTGAGCTTGCACCACCTTTAAAGCTTGTTATTTGTAGCTTTCTTATCGATAAATTAGGCGCGGTCTGGAAGGGAATTTAAATTGCTTTACATGTATTTTTACAAACTTTGACCCATATTACTATTTAAGGTTGTTTTTAAATTCCATGCTGATATGTTTGCTAAATCTTTAATTTGCTGTTAAATGTAAATACAGAAATGTTTAAAAATATACATTTAAAAATATTAATTTATCAATTTTATTTAAGGGTTCTGAGTTATATCATAATATTTTTTTATGTATACCTTAAATCAATTTATTATTATTTTTAATTTGATTAAATTTGTATGTGTTGTTTAGTCTTGCGAATATGCTAAATTACTGATCCATGAAATCCCTCTCCGTACTGCGACTAACCATTTGTATTTGGGGAACCCGTTGGACTGCGACTCCAAGCGCTGACCAAGCGTCAGTTGTTTTCATTCCGCCGCCGAGAGCAGACGCGTTTTCGCCAGCTCTTCGATAACATTAGTTCGCGTCGCTTTATCCTCGGTCGAATCCAGTAAACATTCCGCGGAGAAATTTTCAAAAGTAGTATACAACAAAATTAAATGTAAGGAATAAACAAGAAAAATCAATGCTATTTAATCTAACTGCAGTGCATATGCCAATAAAAGTTATTTTTGCGAACAAGTCGATTTCATTCAGGTTTCGTTTGTTTTGTTTTGGCTTTGTCCACAAAAGAGAGCCTTTTGTTGCATTGTGCCTGACCAGTCAGATGTGCAACAACAATGGCACACGAAGAAGTGTTGGCGATTCAGCACAAAACACTACGAATTTAAATGTGCAACCAAATGCAAATGTTGACGTGCTGTGGAGTAGCAACATGCGAATTATCACTTAATAGAATTTCCTATATTAGTAGCTTATCTTAAAATGTGTGGGGAACTTGAATTGCAATAATGGTTGAACTCTAAAAGCTGATTATGATTTGTTGTTTTTTCTTATGTGTTATATTAAAAATAAATGCGTTGTTCTTATTTATTTTATACAAAAAAATTGCTTTACAAATGCCTCGAACTACTGATTCAAAATATTTTTAAACTGGAATAGAACGTATTTAAATAAAGCTCTTTATGGTCCAATAAATGACGTATAATTTTAATATATTAACTAAACTGTTGTGAGAAACTCATGTCCATTTTAAATGTCAAATAAAAACGTGTCCCAGGCCTAATTGATGATCTACGCTGCCAAAGCTTCAGTTTAAAACGATCGTCATTATAATACTACTAAAAAATAACATCCGTGACATGCAAATCAAGAAAAAGCAGTTAGCTTTTGTTAAGTTGGTTAAATTGTTCTATATTATAATTATTCATGTGCTCACTCAGGCCAATTAACTGAATATACGTTTCCGCAATTTAAATTTCATATCTTTGGTTCTCAAGAAAACTCCTATCTATATTTCGACTTTACTGACCTATGACTCCAATGAGTAATTAAGAAAAACAAGTGATTAACCACACGGCTCAAAGTACATGCTTTTCTTTGTCGATCGCTGAATTGCATGGATTGCGCTTCTACGTGATGTGGTTACAAGCCAATAATTATTGAATTATTGAAGACTGAATTATAATGTATCACCCTTAATGGGCCGAATGACTTGGTTTACATCAATTAAAAAGGTTATTTAGGCATTCAACTCAGTACTCTGTATACAAGTAAAACAATATAAAAATACAAAGTAACATCAATTATTTATTTTTTGTATATTCTTACCAAGAATATAAATTAAATTCGGGGCTTTCTGTGGTTGACTTCTGACTGGTTTTTTCAAAAATTTCGACTCATTTTAATGATTAGTTATCTGTCAGGAATTGACGAATTATATTTAAGTGATTCGCTTGAATCTAATTGCTGTTTTTTTTTTTTTGGTTTCCTCAACTCTATGTATTAGCTAACTCTTCTGTATACGAAATGAGCTGTCTCGGGGTTAAAAGTCTAGCTAAATCGATGTGCTTCTGTTGCCACCTGACGTCACAGAATACACCACATAGAATAGAAAATAAATCTGACAGCAGACAAGAAATTAGCATAAGTTGCTGAGTTTGTAGATTGGCATGCATATTTAAGCTTTCAATTAGCCAATCTTTCATCAACACCTTGTTTATTTCCTTGTTTGCGAATTAGTGGTTTCTCGGGATGCATTCTACCCTGCAGAATTCCAGGTTCTGATCTCGAAAGGCTTCTTCTTTAGAAACCAGAACGGGTTTTGTGGCTTGCATTTACCCAGACGGCGCCAGTTTATTCCGAATATCTGGACGACGCCAAAAGCATTAAAAAAGTAAATAAGACAAAAACAATTCCAATTTGGTGACCAATTTTCGGTTGTTTTCAAAGTCTGTTTACCTGTCAAACAGGAGCACATTGCTAAGCTACTTGGAATGCTTTTAATAAATAGTAAATACATGCTAATTTACATTTAAATAAGATAATTTAATCCCCCGACAGATGTTATGAAGTGCATTTATTAATCGCTGACAAAGATGCTTCCACTGTGAGAGCCTGTCAATAGAATTAAATATTATTTTCTGTAAGCTGTAATTGTTTAATTTAATCGCTGGCGGGCGGAGCGAATTGCAACTGTGAAAACGTGATAAATCTGCGATATGAACACAGCTCCACCCAGAAAGCGGAACGTTCGTGATCCGCCTGTCACTTTTGCCAGTGGGGTCGTCGATCAAGACTTTGTTAGTGGTTTATTATTGAATACCCTGGGAAATGCACTATCTGCAGAGAAAGGTAGCTACTAGCTAGGTGTTGTCCTATATTCCCTCGTTGCTTTTCTTAAAAAATTAAAAAAAATTAGATAAGTTCAATATAATTTATGGGAAAAAAATTAAACAATAGACAATGGGTACTACTTGGTCGTATGCCTGCCTATCATCAGTTGCTTCTTTCCACTTTATGCTTCTTTTACGATATGCATCCCTGCTAATAAAGAGAGACAGTAAAGCTTTCTGGAGAACTCTGATGTCCCATTTGGGTTTTTTCCTAGGATCATTGTGGGTTCTGAGTTTTATATACCTTGACATATATAAGCAAAATTGTACCTGGTATTAATCCGGTTCTGCAGAGAGAATGGCATATACCATACATATGTAGGTAAATAGTGAAGTTGGCTATTCGCAGTAAGGGCTAGAAGTCAAGGTCATTATCAGAATGATTAACGAAAGAATATGTGTAATTTTATTAACAGTTTAGTGAACGCAATTTAACATTAATTTGTGTTAAAAATGATTTGTCAGGTTAATCAACCTTATTGTAATAGCAGATTAACTTAGATTAATAAATGTCTGTCTATATATGTATACTAACTAAGCAACTAGTTTATCTGTAAGTATTGGCCTATGGGTCATTGACTGAGTCGGTAATCAAACAACTTGAACTTCAACAAGATCATTGCAATTAGCATATCATTTTCATATTCAAGTTCATGTTTATAGTGAGAAACATAAACTGAAAGTGATATTGCGTTATTAATCGATCTTGGAGAATGATTTTTACTTATTTGACTACACACCTCCATGACCCTCGGATATTTTGTAGCCCAAAGTTAGATGGTGACTAATTAAAAAGAACAATTGTTCAAATATAAAAAACCTCAAAGATACGTTTATCAGGGCTGAAATTCAAGGCCACTATGCTGATAAGTCATATAAACTTTTGTTTCTTTTAAGTTTGACACGCTTCTTCTCCCACACACAAACTCGTAAAACATATGCATGTATGTACATGTCAAAATCTATAATGATTAATTTTTATTTGCAGCGCGTAAGACGCCAGTGCGATCAAAACAAAACGGGTAATAAATCTGCAATCACACGACCATGCGTGCATAAAGAGGAAAAAGTATCAAAATCCAGAATCATAAAAAAAGAAAGAAAACACAACAATAATAATCGCAACGCTGGCATAAAAGCAGCAGCAAAAAGAAGAGTGTAAAAAAAATATAAATAAATAAGCAAGCGGCGGCAAAGAGATCCAGCACCCATTCCCATTCCGATTCCGACTTTGGTGCGGTAGGTAATGACACATTCGGCAACCGGCGCACGTATCTAGATGCGAACGAGTATCTGAATCCGTCATTGCAAAAATCCGGGGAGCCACACTTGCCCCTAACCTTCCCCCGCGTCTTTTGCTGCGCCACCCGCGTCGTTCATTAATATATGAGTTTTTGAAAGCGGCATTAAATAACGATAAACAAATCAAAAGTTCGCCATGGATCAGTCGCAAAATCTACTGGCCAAACAGTCCAAAGACGTGGAATTCCAAGATGTTTTCTACACCGTCAAGGAGCGAAAGAACTTCTGTAAGTTATATAATCTTAAATCTATATCTAATTACTATGTACTTAGTAAGCCAATTACTTGTTTTAATCAAAAAGAATGTAATTTGTATGAATTATTCAAAGCGTTAATACCTACTCTCCCTTTAAGTACTGCATACTAAGTAGGTTTAAATTAAGCTAAACAGCATATCTGTCAATTAACTTTGCTGCTGAGATCTGAAACGGGTTTAACATTAGTTACCTAATCTTTTTGAATATTTATAAATAAGAATTAATGATTTAGTTTAATAGGAGTAAATAATATAGCAAATTCATGACAATTTTTGTTATAAAAGAAATTCCACGAGACCTTATCCAATCGTTATACCTTTAACTTTTAGACACACTTGCCATGTCAGTTAATGACTGCAGTTATAGCTTATTTAGTTTATTAGGTTAATTCATATTTAGGCATAACATAAAAGTGTTAATAGGTGATAACCGACACTAGTCCTTCATATGACTCCATTACCCAATGTCTGCAAAATGCCAAATATTTGTATGAAATGTGTTTTTCAGTTGCAGACATTTTTATTTGCCATCGAGTAACATCTCAGTTGCCTTTGTTTTTATGTGCTCTGTGCAATGTTTCTTTGGCGGCGGAGGTAATGGTCAAGTAGTTGTCTGGCCAAGTGGTAAGTGCTCCATAATTGTAGGGGCCATATAGCTTGGACCTTTGCCCTTTTTCCTTGCCTTCATTTCTAATGTCAATTGCACAACTTGTTACATTTTGTGCTTAGGGTTTTTTATTCGAAATTACATTCGACACACTTGGCTTAAATGCTTTACGACGTAAACTTTACGTTCTGGGACACGTTTATGGTCAGCCCATGCCTCCTCGTTTTGGGCGAAAGTTCAAACTTAAGTGCCGATTCTCTGGCCATGCATGCCATTGACACAGAATGAAATGGATTGGATAATATTATGCATTTGGCAGACCGTCAAGTTCATTCTGGTTGATTGAACCGAATGAATGGAATTAAAACTGTCGGCTACCGGAATGGGATCTCTTTTCAAATTGAATACTTTGTACAAGGAGGGAGAGAATTAGTTTTATGTAGTAATGTTAAATAGTAATGTTAATGTTATCCTCTTAGGTAATATCAACAAGATATACCTTGGTCAGATTTCAAAGGCGTTTATGTTAAACAGGCGTAGGTATTAATAAATAATAAACGCTTAAGCAATCAGACAGACATGCTGATTTTTAATAAGTTGTCTTTAATAAAAACCCCTTTTTATGGCTGGCCTAGTAATAATATATTTAAGTTATATTAAGAAAAAATGTGGATAATATAATTACTATAAAAACTAATCAAGAAACTCAGCTGGCATATTATATACATAAATCTTAAGGTACTCGAGCTAACACTTGCTTCCATATAATATAGCCAGCCGCCCATAGGGACAGGAAAGTGTTTTCAATTATTCACTCAATACCGGATGTTGGAGTGCTATTTTCCAGTAACATATCAAAAAAAGACACTAATATAATCAAAAATCTAGAAAGTTTCGATATGCCCTTGGAAATGTAGTCGTGCAATTTCAATTGCGATTACAAATTCAGTCTGTAACAAGTGCGATGGCTAAGGGGCATTTCCATTTCATTTTCATGTAAGTGAGTGAGTGTTTTTGGCATGATTTTGAGAGAAGAGGAAATGCTTGTGAATCTACTCACCAATATTTTAGTTTTAGCTAATACCAGTGGCTTGAAGTTGAGCTTCCTCATTGCAGAGTCAACCTCAAGTACGACTGGTGATTAATTATTGCTCATACGCCATGTGCAACGTGCAACTAACAGCCAACAGCGAGATGTCGCCAAATGTCGTCGCTATGTGGAATATAATAATGAACGATAAACATGCAAACAGTGTCAAGCATAAATGTGCAAGAATTCTGAAATTAAAATTAAGTATTTTTTTGTATTAATTTTAAACTTAAGAACCACTAGAAGAGGTAATGAGATCTAAATTATTAATGTTATTTTCTCCAGTAGGTCAAGCAAATATTGTACTTTAACGAGAATCATTGCACTGGAACGCACTGTACGAACAAACATGTACCCAGAAATCAGTATGTGGGCTTAATATTTTGAGTACATATTTATCTCCGCACATACATATGTATTATATATACATATGTATATTCACACATCGTAGATACATTGCGACTTCCTCGATGTGTCCCGCATCAATGGAAACTACAGTAGTTGTTGGCCGACCAAAGGCAGCGACAAAAACATCAACAACCTCATCATTAGCCCCATCATCATCGTCATCATCATCATCGTCACATCATGATCGGCACTAGAAGCAGCAACAATTGCAGCCACAACAGCATTATTATGTTGGCTTGGCGCACAGGGAAAAGCGAAAATTGCCCAACATTGATTGAATAATTTTTCCCCTCCAAAAAGTCATAGAGCTCGGACACGTTTTTGTTTTTCTTTTTTTTATTTTGTAGTTTTCTATTTCGCGATATATAGTGCGCGCTTTTCCATTTCAAGTCCCCAGGGCACTATTTTGGATTAGTCAGCGAGTCAATGTCCGGGTCTATCCAGTGGGTTTTTCTATTGGGTTGTCAATTAAACTGAATGCAACTCTACTTCTGGATTTAAATTAGAAATGGTTATCACCGCTGGATCTTAAAATATGGATTATTCGTTTCGTAGCTTTGCAAATTTTATTGGCTTACTTATGTATTTAGATTTACCAAACTATTAATTACGGTACTGATACTAATTGCAGGGCGGTAAAACCAATTAAAAATAATTAGTTTTCACCTAACTAAAAAATGCGGTTAAAAACAACCTTTCCACATTATTCGTATAGAATCAATTATTCCAAGGGCGGCCCTTTTTGTAGTTGAATAAGTACTGGCAGGTATTCCCAGGCATTATTATATAACTTTAATGTTTCAGAAGGGTTTGCTGGGCCAGTTGTTAGAAACGATCAAAGATCACATTAAAGGGAGTGAGTGTTGCATTAAAAGTAGTATTTATCAGGCCAAGCACAATAGACATGCTAATGAAATTGCTTTAATTAAGTGCAGGCGATTCAATTGCATCAATTAGCTAACTGGTCCCAGGGAGCAGTGCACTTCACTCCTCCACACTCGTCAAACGATCTGGCTAAAATTCAGAGATTCGTTCTGCTAGTTAACGGAATGTGCTTGTTCGAGGCGCAGTTTCATTTATGACCTGAACTGAAAGGGAAATCTGAAATGTAGATTACGAATTTGGGAAAATTGTTTACTGATACTGGAAAAAAGGTGTTCCCCATAAAGAAGGTAGGGTTTATTATTTGCTATGACTAGTTATATTTTATTATATTAAATGCGTAGTTATGTTTTCTAAAAACCAATCCTAAATAATGTCGATCTGTTAGCTGAACTCATTACAATGATATAGATTCTGTGCGTTGAACAACCACTAATCGGTTTTTCATATTATCGTCCGAAAGATAATTTTCCCAACGAATTGTCACGCCTCATTATGTGACTCACGTAGCATCGTGGGAGCAGCGGTTTCCCGCTGTTTGAGGAGGGGGAGCTGTCCGATAAATCAGCCAAGCCAACGTACTGTTGATTATTCCATGGATTTGCTGGCAATATTTTTTTCGGTTTTTATATGTATTTTTTATTTTTGGTTTTGACCGCTGCGCGTGCTCAGAACGTGTTGGCCAAAAAGATGTAGGGGCGTGCCCAAACGGCAGCGTTTAATTGATATGAAGCTAATTGATATGGAGACCGGTCACTTGGTAAACAACACTTTCTGATAATAGGATTTGCGACAGACTCCAACTTGTCAGTGACCTTCTTAAATTGGTTCGCGAACCGCGATTCGGTTGTGCAATGAATGTTAATTGACAGCCAGCACTATCAAAACTGGGTCAAATATGTAAATATCATGTTTCTCAATTACATATATGGTTTCAGTAGTCAGGAAAACTAAGAGTTCTAGTTTTGATAATCGAAATAACGAGGAAAAGTATCCTTTTTAGTACAAGGTTATTATTGTTAGAAATTACTTGCAACGAGCAAAATATGTAAATAACTTATTATCAACTTCTTTCTAGTCTTATACAAATTCATGACCTATACCTGAGATGCTATTTTAATTATTTACCAAAGTCTAAATCAATCACTGAGTGACTAGACGCTTATAATCTGATTAATAAAAATCAATGTACTTTAAATCAGAAATTGACATAAGAATTTAAATTTATTGCATTTTTTGATAAGATTATACATAATGTCTCCGTTTAACTTCCGGCTGTTTACCATGGCAAAAACTTACTGTAATATATTGTACAATTTAAATATTTCATCAGCTTGACACCCTGATGTCAAGAACTTATCAATCTTTGTCATCAACAATCCGCCACGTTGTACCATCTACCCAAGGAAATGGCAAGCTAAAGAATCAATTTTTGCTTGAGCTATTCGATTGCAACCTTCGGTAATATTAAATAATAGAGTACAGCTGCAGTGCTGATAAGAACGGCGGTGGCATTGGCCTATATTAACGCATTGGTGCATTGAGACTGGCTCGTGAAAAATGCAGGTCAGGTTCGTACTGCGATAGTGAATAATGGCTGAGAAACTGGGAAAAATGTGTATTTTTCGACCAACGATCTTTGCCTTTCAAATTGTTCCTGTTGTTATGAATTTTTCCACACCTAAGTGGAATTTTAATTGGAATAATTTATGCACGTGTGGATATAATTGAGGGTTCACAGGTAAAGCAGCCATGGAATTCGGCAACCAGACAGAGGGCGGAAGCAGGTTCCACTTTTGCCAGTCATGTAATCATTTCAAGTCCATCATTTGTTATCCACGGTATCTTTCCGTTTCCAACCCATGACATGGGAAAATATATTAATAATTTTCTGGGTTCTCAAGCTATATTTAAAGATCTCTGTTATTCTTAGCTAGGAAAACTTTCCAGTTGATAATTTAAGATCAATAAGAAAGGGAACTTGATTTATTTAATTTAATTCATTCCGCAACTCTATTATTTTATTTGATAATCAAATACGTCCAGATAAACCTGAAATTTGAGCGTTTCTACGTAATAGACAGAATACATTAAACACAGATGTTTTTGTTTTTCTGTGATTCATTCAGAATGTTGATAATTTTTGAAGGTGTTTAGCATATTTTTGCCTTAGTAAACAATTTAAATTTAAATAATAGTATTTAAAAATAAAACGATTTAAAACATTATCCTTTTAAATATATAATATAACTTATTTTTAGGGCGCGTGACCGGAGAACGTCGAATTCTGAACGGAGTCAGCGGGAGTTTCCGGAACGGGCAGCTCTCGGCCATCATGGGACCCTCGGGAGCCGGTAAAAGCAGTTTGCTTAATGCGATTTCGGGTTTCAGGTGAGAACATTAAGCCAAACCAGATACCAGATACGACTGCATTTGACGTTATGTTCTGAACTGAACGTCATTCGGGTTCAAGTGTAAAAAAGATCCACCATTCCCTTCCTGCGACTTCCCAAGATCGACTGTCCCACACATATATCATTTGCTAAGCCAAAACTGAACCGGTTCTATGCTAAGCAGACCGGTGATTATAGCCATGATCTTGCTGACTTGATTGTGACTCAAATGCGAAATGACAACGGGGTTCTGTAGGGTTTGGGGTCTAGTGGCAAGCAAACTAATGTCTCCAGTAATATGATGCCAGTCTGGACCGAAACAACCTTCGCCTTCAAAATAAATGTTAGAAGTTTGCTGAAAACTGATGCTTCCTCGAAATTTAGTGGAAAATTTCGGTCTTAAATAGAGTTTAAGAATCTGCACAGTCATGAAGCTGTACTGTGGAGGTAATTGTTTAGGAAAGGTTAAGTAGAGATGGTGTTAATTATTTATAGAATTAAATAGTAATTAGAATCACAAGGGAAATTCATAATACAACGTATTTTGATCATTTTCAGGCGGAATGGAGTCACTGGAAGCATAAAGATTAAGAGGGACAATGCCTGCTATATCACTCAGGACGACCACCACCAGACTCTGCTAACCGTCGAGGAGCTAATGAATCTCGCCTGTGATCTTAAGTTAAAACATCGTCACAAAAAGGCAGAAATCATGACAGACATCCTAGAGAATCTCCACTTGAATCATCGGCGTAATGTCACTGCAGAAAAGCTGAGCGGTGGTGAGCGAAAGCGCTTGTCCATAGCCCTGGAGTTGGTGGACAATCCAAATATCTTCTTCTTGGATGAGCCAACCAGTGGGCTGGATGAAGTAACAGCGGCCCAGTGCATCCGATTGCTGCAGGCGATGGCCTACGAGGGTCGCACCATCGTATGTACCATCCATCAACCTTCGGCGACGATCTATAATTACTTTGATAGCATCTACGTTCTGGCAAAAGGCCAATGTGTCTACCAAGGCAGTCCCAGAGCCACCATTCCCTTTTTGCGACTTGCTCAGCTCGACTGTCCAAGACATTACAGTCCCTCCGATTACAGTAAGTCTATAAATGTGTTAAAATCCTAATGGATTATTAGTTCTGAAATTCTATTGCAGTTATCGAGCTGGTCGATGCCGAGGATGGACATCTGGTCCCAGCTCTCAGTGAGCTCACTGAGAATGGCAAACTAATCTATGTGGCCAGTCAGTCCGATCAATTGGGTGCGTCGCTGGCATCACAGCAGGCAATAACCACCATGTTTGTGGAACAGCAGAAGCGTCCATTCTTGCCGTCGTTTTTTGCCGGCAGTGCGGCCTCAACGGATGGATCTTTAATAGGAGGCACCAGTGCTCTGTTGGAACAAGTGAGAGCCTTCTCAAAGCGTCTCCATACGGATCGGAGGGATATATCTGCAGTTCGGCAGTTTATGGTTCTTATGCGGGTTATGCTGTTGCGGATAACACGGGCACGTTTGGCCCTGACCATTCAGTTGTTCCACCATTTGTTGTGCGGTTTGTTCTTTGGCCTGATATTCTTCCAGTTGGGTAACCAAGGTGGTCGGATGTTTGATCATCTGAAATTCTGCATTGGTGCTGTCCTTATGATTGTATACACCCAGGTGATGGTGCCCATTCTGAGCTGTAAGTATATTCAGTTTCTGTCTCTAAGCATCCTTATAAATCTTGATTTGTCCTAAAGATCCTGCTGAGGTAAAGGTGGTCAAGAAGGAGACCTTCAACCGTTGGTATACTTTAACACCGTACTATATGGCGTTGACGGTGTCGCGTCTGCCACTTCAGGTGCTACTTAACATTACCTTCATGGCGGTCACATACTGGATGTCCGGATTGCCTCAACAGTTCTGGCGATTTGGTATTTTTGTAGCTGTGGGTTTGATGATCTCCTTAGTTGCTGAGGGCATGGGCCTGGCCATTGGAGCTACCTTTAGCATAACGGTTAGTATTACCTTATAAATTTTACCCCCTTTTGAAGTATACTTTTCGGCTAAAACCTACCTATTCTCTTCACATTGCAGAACGGCAGTGTGGTGGGTCCAATGATAATAGCACCTTTGATGGGCTTGGCGGTCTACGGATTTGACTTTGCACCGCGGATCCCGGCCGGAATGCAACTGCTGATGAAGTTCAGCTATATTCGCGTTGGCGTAGTTTCGTTAGTTCTAGCCGTATTTGGTTTCCAACGAGAGGAACTTGATTGCGATGAAATATATTGCCACTTCAGTGATCCTCGGGTACTTCTCAAGTTTTTAGATGTGGAGAAAGTTTCAATGTTTCACCAGTTCGGAATACTGGCTATGCTGATGCTATTCTTCCGAGTGATTATGTACATTAGTCTGCGAAAGCGATGCTATGCCTGATTTTCATACCAATACTCCAGATGAATCTTACTCCCTAGTTATAGCCAATGTCAATGCTGTGATGTTCGATTTTAAACAGACAGATAGATACTCCCTGTACATATGCACATATGCACCATTCCACTAAAAGGACAAACGTTAACATAACCATAAGATAGTGTTAAATTAGGATTCGATTTACATAAGGCAAAGCCAAAAAAATTTGCAAACATATTGATCGCTGATGCAGTCTTTTGAATGTGGTCTATTTTGAGAAAAAAAAAAGTTACCTGAAGATCGAAATTAAGTTAATATATTTTATGAAAAGTTGTATATGATAATAAGAAATTAACCTGACACTACCGACATTTTTTGGAAATAGGAGGTTAATTTTATATAATTTTCGTGGTTAAAGTGATTTTTATTAGAATTTTACAAGAATAAAAACTGTCTTGGATATTAAACATTATCTGTTGCATATTTTGAAATGTGTTATGTCTAGAAGACTCTCCTTAAGCCGAATCCCATAAAGAATTCTTATTTGGGTCATCTTCCATAGTGATACCTCGAATGCCTTTAAGAAGATCATAGTAGTGATACTTCCGCCAATTCGTCTTGTCCGTGGCAGGCTCTAGCATGGACGCTATGCTAGTTGTCATTGAGGACGGTAACTTATTTTTCAGAAGATTTTGTAGAGCTGTAAGATCATTTTCTGTAGTTACCGCATTGATAAACGGTTTCAGAAACAACTTGAGGTCATTGTTGGCGTAGCTGGAAAGTAAGTTAACACAAATACTGAGTTGTCTTGACAGTAATCCTTACCATACTCACCGACGCAGAATTTTCTCCATGTTATCGATCAAAAACTGATTACCCACATAGAAACCCAGGTCAGTGCGCATTACGGCGGCCATGAGACCAACTTTCATTGATTTTGGAATCTTATCCTCGTCGAGGGTCCATCTGAGCAACTTCTGCATCGCCCAATACTCTGTGGTGCAGCTAAGAGAATTCAAAAGGACACGCTTCTCGTTTTCATCCGTTGCTTCGAACAACATGTCCCGTACAATTACCCAATGGTCCTCCAAGCCCTTGCGGATGCCCATGCAGAGTACGGTTTCACGTAGTCCCTCGGGTATGGAGGATATGGATTTTTGGTCCATCGCCGACTGAAATAGCTGTTGTGCGTCTGTCAAACATTCTTTGATTTCGTACTGGCATGCTAGCCGGTACATGATCGTTTTCAATGGTACTTCCATTATGATATTATTCCTTGGACTTTTTTCGTTTTCCGGGGATTCAGTGTTTGTCGATGTTTCACTGTCTGTCCTGGCTTTCGATGATGAAGACGTTGTGAAAGTAGCTTTAAAACTTGGTTCAATTAGTGTATGCATGAAAATCTGTAATGTTAAGATTCATCAAATATTGTCAACTGGGTAAATATTATGTATTTCACCTTAAAAATACGATAGCCCGTACTCATTCTCATGATACTCTGCAGCTTCTCCAAACTGATAAGTGCTGTTTGCCATACAACAACACTGGTTTCCTCTGAAAGGTACGAGACTAAGTTAAGGCTCGCATTATACGGCAATTGGCCGGACCAGGCTAAATTAAGGGCATCATCGACCAACTGAGCACGACTGAGCTCGGGGATTTGTGAAAAATTTTCGTTCAGTGCCCCACTGATTAGCCGCCAGTTATAAAGATCGTAGAGGACTCGAAGAGGCACTGCAGCATCGACGTTCAACAGTAGCCAATCTTTCGGTTCAATGACATATTTCAGATGCATTTCATCGGCCTTATTCTTGCTACAGCCAAGCCACTCCAACTGGGAGAGTGTATAGTTCTTGCCGATATAGATGACTGGCACCCACCAGCAGTTTTTGGAACTGACGCTCAGTTTGCTCTGATAATAGCGGCTCTGGGTGATTGTCACCTTGTTATCCTCGTCATTGCGCAGGACGGTAAGTAACGGGTATCCTGGTTGCTTAAGCCATGACTCCATTACAGTGGTCAGAACGACACCGATGGGCAATTGATGATATCGGCGGGCCACTCGTTGCAACTCCTCCAACAGCTGCTCGGTCGTAGTGGAGGATTTGGCATACCGTTGAAAGAATTCCTTAAGTCCTTCATAAAATACCTTTTCGCCAAAAGCCACTTTAACCATGTGGGTGAGTAGGCATATCTTGTGCTTGCGCAACCTTTGGTGTCCAGGATCCCTCACATCAGTTACAATGGACTTCGTGTCGGCTAGGGAATCATAATACAAAACATCCTGACGCGTATTTAAAAAATGGGTCATGTTATGGGAGCCGTTGACTTGCATGCCTTCCGCCTGATATGCCAGATAGTTGTTAATGCCATCGCGCACATATGTTCCATCCTTGTCGGATGTGCTTGCTAGTACTCCGTTCCACTGCCGCGCTAACAGCTCCGCCAGCATTTCCTGCATATTATCAAATGATGATTTGATCGGATCTATCTCATCCTCGTCGATCACTATTAGACCCTTGCCGCTATACACTTCCGAATACCCCGGCAGCACTACATAATCGTATTTGCCACCCCAATCGGGATCTTTAGGCATTGGATGGGCAAACAGGGTCTCAAAGTTGCTAAGCAGATTGGGAGTCATTTCAGCCACCTTCTCCAACTTCTGCTTTAAGTGAGACCGCGCCCAGACGGTGACATTCTCTCCTGAAGCCGTAAGACTACTGGAAATTTTCTCAAGCTGATGTAAAGTCCACATTATCTGGTTGGTAGACATCGGCGGTGAACCCATGAATGTTGTCCACACATAATCCGTAATATCCTCACTGAAAGTTTATGCAAAAGTTGTTATTATGTACCCCAATGTTTTGTTCTCATCCGATTTTCTTACTGTGGAGTTGTCATTATGGCTGGCATATTGCTGAGAGCAACGAATTTCTTGTGATGCACCATAGTTATGTTGAAAGTGGCCCGCTGGCTTGGGTTATTAAAGCAGGGAAACGCGGTGTGGGCATAGTCCGGCTCCAAGTGTGTCACAGAGAAAAACACTCGTGGTGTTTTATCGTAATAACCGGAAAAGTAGCCGTAACGCTGCGGACGATTTAGTCCGCCCATGAAAAATATGTGAAGAGTGTATTTCTCGCCAAGTTTAAGGGGGTGCTCCATGATTAAAATAATCTCGTCGGGCTTTTTGGCGTTTTTCCTAAGCTCAACTGCACTGATTCTTCTTCCGCTGGCCCATCGCAGTAACCATGTTTTTTCCTTAAACATGTTTAAGTCTTTGGAGTTTAAATATATGTTGCGAGTGTATTTTATTGCTTCTATATCAATAGAAACGATCCCCTCATATTGGTTCTGAGCACCTCCGCCATTCAAGTGCGTGAGGATTGTCAGATTGTAACGCAGTGGCTTCACCGAGGAATCTGCGAACGTTTTAGATGACAAGCTCCAATATAAGACGACTATTCGCAGCAACATTGCGTTTGCAAGTACCAGAGTCTATTAAATCAATCCGTATCATTTTTAATCCTTAAGTGGCCTAAACTAATTTACAATTTCATACCCCTTCACGGGTGCTTCTCTCTCTTCTTAAGAGAGACTGAAATATGTAAGTAAACTGGTCGTTGACGTTAGATCCCCATTCATAAAAGCAAATAGTAAAGCTAATTAGGCGGAACTTCCAAAGCAGTTATTACTATTAAACGAAGTGCAATACTGATGAACAAGTTAACAACCGCGTATTTTACATGTTGGTTTAATAATATTATTATTGCTGTGTCAATTCCACAGCCAATTGGTACAGTATTTACAATAGAGAAATTATTCTAACTCAATTACTCAATATTGTAATTATTCAAATCATGTTAGCAATCTTGCTTGAACCATTGCATTTTTTACGATGCACGTAAATAACACAATGTTAATGAAATAATAATAACTTAAAATCACTGCTAAACTAAATAGATTTAGTACTATTTCTTCATGCTGCCCATTTTCTCCTTGCGTTTTTTCACATGCTTTTTGACTTTAACTTTTCGCTGTTCTGCTTTCGCATCTTTTACGGCCTTCTTGCGCGCCTTCTTACTATCCGGAGACTCCTCGCGTGGTCTTGCGGAATTCTTAAAGCGGCTACCATCATCTTCGTTGTCGTTATCCTGCGATCCCTCGTCTTCGCTGCCGCTTGTCTGGGCGTCACCACCTTCCTCATCTTTACCCGTTTTAGATTCCAGAACGTCTGGCTGCTGTTGCACATCCAAATCCGAAGTTAGTCCGGTAATCTTACCGTAGATCAGATTTTGTTGCACACCCTGCTTGGCCTTAGCCACATCCCGCTCAAAGTGACGAACCTATAAAAGAATTTTGTAATAGTAATGTGGCTTTCGATTAGGAACTCACTAGGAAAACTTACCTCGTCTAACCGTTTGGGAATGTAGGTGTTCTGCCACACGGCCTCGTCGATCTTCTCCTGAGCCGATATAGCGTCAAAGTCACGATCCTTGATCCGCTCCGAAATGCGCTCCAGGCACTCCTCCATGTTTTCGGCAGTGATAGTCTGGTCAGTAATAAAATCAAACAGTTCCTTCACAGTCATCGTCGCTACCGCCCGTTTGCGGAAAAACTCTGAGATGTTAGTGCAGTCTTTGCGAAGGAAGTCGAAGGAATGGGGATGATCGTGTTCCACTGACTGGCTCACGTCGATAATAACCAGCTGCCCATCCTGCAGCAGAATGTTGAATTCAGAAAGATCAGCGTGTACGAGACGGCATTGATTGTATATGCGCCACATTATGACCACGCAATCCCTGTACAACTCGCGTGCCTTCGAGGTGCTTATCTCAACATCCTTTAGCTTTGGGGCGGGCCAGCCGTCACGACCACAGAAGCGCATGACCAGGACATGTGAGCGTAGCAGGATCGGCTCCGGCACTGGAACACCGGCGTTGCGCATCCTCAAGTAGTTTCGCATCTCTTTCTCAGCCCAAGTGCGCACCATTTTTCGTGGGTTGTGCTTGCAGTACCCGTGACGGAAACGGAACTCACCAGACACATACTTGTCGCGATCCTTAAAGACTAGAATGGACGTCTTATAGATCTTTATAGCAAACTCCTCTTCGCCATTTTTCGAAACAGCATGGTAAACGTTTGCTTCTTTGCCGGTCGAAATGCATCCGTTGATCTCCTGTATCAGACCACGATTCAGCAGTTTGAAAAGTATCATCCGAGTGCGTGGATCCATCACCTGCTCCGCGGTGGCACGGTCGTGTTTGTCACGCACCTGCGTCCGCTCGCGTCGATCGAAGTTCACCAGTCGGTTGGCCGCTTGAGCACTCATATTGGTGGTGGGATCATACTTCTCTACGTTTATGCGGGCGGAGTAACGCCGGAGCAGCTTTTCATTGGGCTGGTAGCTGCTTAAACGTTGTGTGCCACCAGATCCTCCTCCAGATCCTCCGCCAGAAGCACCTCCGCCGGCGTTTGTCAGCTGTGGCTGGACATGGACCTTGTTGAAGCCAGTGTAAGCCTCCTCATACGTATCGTAGTCATCGCCCACGTCGTCGTAGTCATCCTCATCATAATCCTCTGCCTCATCGTCTTCCGCTTCCTCCTCATCGTTCGAGGCTTCTATAACTTGCGCCAGGTCATCGCTGGCATCCTTAGGCGTTAGCTTTATGTCCTTAAATATCTCGTCCTTCACTGTGAGGGTCTTGAAATCGTTTACCCATTCGGACTGCGACAAAAGTTGATTTAAGAATACATTGTTGCAAATTGATAATTATTTTCTTACATTTCGCAGGTCTTCTTCGTCTTCCTCGGCGTCGCTGTACTTATGCTGTTCGTCGTTCATTGCAGAGCCTGCAGTAAGTAATAATTATAAAAGTTTGTTCTTTTTATATTGCAAAAGCTTTCTAAGCTGGCGAAATTTCGGTCCACCGCAAGTTCAAAAATTTCACAAATATGTCCAAGAAACCGCACGTGTTGAAATTGCCATTCACTGAGATGCGCTGACATTGTTTTGGTATTTTCTAGGGATACGTATACGAGATATTTAGTTGAATTTCTCTAAATAAAAAAGTAAGAAAATGTTAGCTTATATTATATTATTTATATGTTATTAGAAAAATTAATTATAAAATATTTGCGGGCGTAATAGGCAACCAATATAAGTTCTTGTTTTAAATTATTTTTGGTATTTGATTTTAGTATTTATAATACTTACTTGTCTATATGCATGTGGTCATACTATACCTACACATGGCAAGACAACAAAAATTCTCATTCAAAACAATAAACGACCAAAAGTTTTGAATTTTATATCTTAACAATTGGCCGACATGTTCGTGCTGGCGGAGCTGAAGGATAATGTACGGATCGCGCCGGACCAGTTTCATCTGAAGTTGGAGGACGCCGTGCGTGACGAAATCGACCGCAAGCTGGCCAATAAGGTGCATAAAGTGTAAATCACTTGGGAGATCCTAATTATACGATTTTTTTTCTTTAGGTCCTTCTTAATGTTGGCCTGTGCATTGCCCTGAAGGATATTGTTTCTTTGAAAGACTCGATAATACTGCCTGGCGACGGTTCATCACATACCGAGGTGCTTTTCCGGTACGTCGTCTTCCGACCAATGGTAGGCACCGTAATCACCGGAAAGATACGAAAATGCAGCCGAGAAGGCGTCCACGTGACACTGGTCTTTTTTGACGACATCCTTATCCCACATGCCGCCCTTCAGCATCCCTCCCGTTTTGATGAGGCCGAACAGGCCTGGGTCTGGGAATATCCATTAGAGGACGGCGAAAAGCACGATCTCTTCATGGATGTGGGCGAGCCCATCAAGTTTCGTGTATCACGCGAGATCTTTGAGGAAACATCACCAATTGGACCGCCTAAAGCAGAAGCTCAGTCACAGCAGGCAGCCAGTACATCCTCTGCTGCATCAGCTGCATCACAGGAAACGAAGACACCGTACAGGCTTATTGTAAGCTCGGAGTTTTCTCTGTAGTATTTTAAATTTAATAATTTATGTTTATTTTCTAGGGTGCCATTAACGAATCCGGCCTGGGCGTGCTCTCCTGGTGGGATCAGCAGGGCAAGGACGAAGAACAGGACGAAGAGGAAGACGAAGAGTATGACAACGACGAGGACGGCGAAGGCGCCTGTGAAGAATGACGCAGATGTACTAACTCAACTGTTACTATTTATAAGAACTCGTTTTTAATGGAAAAAGTTATGAATGGTTGATTACAAAGCCTGATTTCGAACTAAGTTATGATAAAAACACATTTAAATTCATTTTACCATTTATTTATTTTATCATGTACTTGTAGAGTTGTGTTGTTGTTTTAAGACTGCAGTTTTCAATCTCCATTTTCTTAATGTTCATGATGCAACTCTCTCACACTGGATTTAAAAACAAAGCATTTACATTAGATTTGAGTGAGGGCTTTACTTAATGAGGAGAGCAGCTCTATAACATAAGCTAGATATATAGAGTATCTTTGACGGCTAGAAGTCGATTGTTTATGATTCGAAATTGCGATTCGCAATTTGACAACAATTTGCTAAACATTGTGTTAAATATTGACTTCATTGGTAGCGTGCTTTCTGTCACCGACACCTTGCTTAAAATACTTTCAGTAGCCGTAAGTTAATTACAGATTAGTCATATGGTACAATCGAAGTAAGGTTTCACTGGTCAGGGGATGCAAAAGTCTAGGATTTTGTAAATTTCAATTGCAATTTCAATCTAAAGCTGGCGGCAACTTTTGCACGTTTTCGCTATATTCGTAAATATTTTCGAATTTTCATTTTTTTTGTTGTTTTGCTTCTTTGAACTAATGTAAGTTAATTGCATATTTTGATTCACTTTGTTTTTTATTTTTGTATTTTGTAGTATCTATTTGTTGTTTGTTCGTCTTTTGGGCGCAATGTTTTGTTTTTAATTTTTTTTTTGAGTTGGTTGTTTCATTTTTCAGTAATTTACACGTAGACTGTATGTTTAGTTACAGCGAGAAGAGTAAATAAAACGTTCGTTAAAAACTACAATAATATAAATAATGTATATTTATAAATATAAATATAAATATATATTTATGTATATTAGACATATTGTATTGCATGTAAATAAATATCATCTTCGGGTCTTTTGTGGTACATCATCGTCTTAAACAGATCAACTTAACTAAGTTCCGTATCAAATCACAGCAGAAATCATAAAAACTATAAGGGATAGAGTACAATGTTGACGGAAAGTTAAAGTCACATAGCACGCGAGGAACTTGCCGACTGGAGGTTAAGTGTACCAAATTAGCATACTCGAATGGTTAGCCGTATCGAACCAAAACCAAACCGAAACTAGTGCACCGTAAGCTTCAGGGATCCCTATCCATATCCACCTATCCGATTATTCAATGATCAGGCAGCGGGGCAAATGCTCCTTCAGATAGTCGAACAGTTCGTGCGACGCTCCCGGGCAGTTGGTTAATTCCAGTTCCTGTAGATGCCTCAACTGGATCAGGCTGGACAGACCGGAAGAGGTAAGTAGCGGGCAGCCCGCCAGGGATAGCACCTGAAGGTTCCGCATAGAGCACAGATGCTGAAGCCCAAAATCCCGAACTTGAGAGCACCAGCGGAGGAAGAGGGCGGTCAGCGATAGCATCGTCGAGATATATCCCACGCCAATGTCCGTTATATGAACGCATCTGAAAAGTGACAGAACAATGCCATTCATAATTATATTTAACAAACTGAGTAATTGAGCACTTCCTAGTATTATTGTACAGAATTTCCAAAGAATAAAAGATTAGAAGGTTCAGAAAGCTTAACCTTGATAAGAAACAAGAACTGATATTTGTATTTTATTGTGTTTCATTCTTAGCATAGCTCTCGTAAGATGAAGACGTATTTCGCTTGGATTCCCTTGGTGGCTTTGCTTCTTGGCCACCAGGCTGTTTCTCAGCTTCTGGATAATTCCTGCGGACTTGGAATCGACATAAATAGCAACAAGGCGGGATTACAAGCTGCTGCTTGGATGGCAGCCATCAGAAATGACACACATTTTCTGTGTGGTGGCACGCTGATTCATAGTCGTTCGTATACATACATACATATATACAAAATTCTTGGAGTTTCCTGATAAAAATTAATGTTTTTCAGGCTTTGTGTTAACCACTGCTCAGTGCACTAATAACCAAGCAAGCCTGTAAGTATAATCTATAGATATAAATAATAAAATTGATCATAATTTTCCTTTGCCATCAACTGATGAACTAGAATTTGTGTCTTTTTAAAATCGATTCAAAAACAGACTTACATATATATGTAACTTCACTTTATTTTAAAATGATGTTATACTGATGTAAACTTAAATGTTTTTCTTATAGATATGTAAAATTAGGAGCATACAGTACACCACAGCTTACCGATAAGTATGTATCAGTCTCCCAAGTTTATTTACACCAATCGAATGACATCGGACTGCTTAAGTTGTCAAACACCGATGCCTTCAATGGTATGTCTAATATTTGACGATTAATTTACGAGTATATAATTTTTTTTTTTAATTTGTAGCCCAAGTTCACCCAATTTGTATAGTTACGGATCCGAATGTTAGAAGATTCCTTGAACCGATACGATCATTCAAAGTTTTTGACTGGGCACCAAAAAGTAATCCCTCGGAAGGTGACTACCTTCTAGGAAACATATACTATCGCCTAAATACAAACGAGTGTAATAGTAATTCAAGCTTATATCCGATTTGCGCTGGTGAAAAAAACACAACACAACACTGCGGGAGCTATTCCGGCAACCCGTTGACTACCAGTGTCAAAATAAACAAAAATACCACTCTCGAAGTTCAGTTTGGGATCGCAGGCAATGGAAACTGCAATAAGCCAAGATCTTTCACAGACATAACCAGCAATGTGGACTGGATTGCAGCAACTATAAATAGATATAATACAAAGGACGTACCTGAGACAAACACCCAGCCAGATACAAGGGTGCCCAATAAAGGTTCAGAAACTCCAATTCGTAGGAAATCTGATTTGTGGTTGTATAGCGATTGCGGTGGTGATTCAATAACTTCGTACTTACTGGCGTTGATTTCTGGATCGAGTCGCGCCACCAGTGGTGTGTTCATTACGGACAGTACGTATCCATCTCTAAATATCTCTACTCTACCAAACTGAAAGATATATTCCGATCGATTTGTATATTAATTCTAACCCATAATCTCTTTAAATTTGTAGAATTTGTTATTGTAACTGCCAGCTCCTTGCCTAAAGACACGTAAGTAGCTATAACACCGTTAATAATATGTTTTGTGAAATTTATAATTTATTTTAGCATATCTGTGAGTCCGGCGTCAATAAATAGAACTTTATATAGATCTGTTTTAGTTGAATCAATATTTAAGCATCCCCAGTATACAGACGATCAAAAAAATGATATAGCATTGATCAAATTGAAGAAACCGGTGAATATAGGTATCATTATTTTTCGTTAATTTAAAACCGTTGACTGATAAATTTCATATTGCAGGTGGAATAAAACCAATCTGTATGCTTGCCCAAAAAAGGCATCAAGAGGAGGCGGAATCTAACCCGCCTTTTACCATATTTGCTCCAACGAATGCTTATGACCGCAAGACCGTTCGTGAGCATAATGTTGAACTTCTTAAAACCGAAGGATGTTTCGGAATCGAATCAAATCAGTTTTGTGTTGAGGCTTCTCCCGGAATTACGGAATTACAGAATTATGGATTTTCTGCTGACATAGTTGGCAAAAAGCTGATGTATTCGGGAAGAGATTGGCTTGCCCTTTTCGGTATGGTCAGTTATTCGATGAACGATGTTTACGTTTACACAAATGTTATGAGACACACAGAATGGATCGCTAGTGTTGTCAACTCTAATCAATAACAGGAATTAAAATGAAAAATATTTCCTCTCATTTTTATACATATGTCAAAAAATATATAGATTTTGCCATTTTAAAGTACTTAACTTTAATTTATGTACTTAAAGCTTAAAAACTTGAATAATTGACTGAGTTTCAATTATATTTTTATAATTTCGAATGCTTCATGTTGAATAAACAGATAGAAAACAATCTGATTTTTCATTTAATGCAAATAAATTATTTTTTGGCAATTAAAATGAAATACTTGTCATATATTCATATAATTGCATAAAGAAGCAAAGAAATTAAAATGTATTATCAGGCAAAAGACTTAAAGGCTCCATATACTACATATACATATATACGACCCCGGGCACGGATATGGAATGGTTATATATACTTAACATATATCCATATGTGCGTAAGCATTATGTTCAGCAATATTTATGGAAGACATTTTTGCAGAAGCAGTTTTATTACGAGTTAACTGCCTGAAACTGAGCAAAATCAGATTGCAGAATTCGTTATATATAAAAAAAAAAACCAACACTTAAAAAAACTATTAAAATATTCTTTTATATTATAAAGATGGCATTATTAAACATAATTTTCGATTTCTAGACTTTTATGAATCCTATTAATTATATTCATAAATAAGTTCAAAGGTTCTAAGTCAAGCTAGAAATAACTTTTAAAACGTTGTAAGTTTAAAAAGAACTTTGTTTAAGTGCAACTTTCTGCAGTTTTCGACGACTAATGGTTGCCGCCGGAGATGAGGTTCAGCTACTCGGCGACGGAAATTGAATTTTACTCATGAATAATTACGAAACCAGCTGGCAAAGGGCAATGAAGTGCGGCGACCTTGTGCCCTGCATGTAATCTTACTCACCTATCCAGAGTCAGCTCCTCCAGCTGGTTCAGATCACAGGCGATATACTCGAGCGAGGCGTCCGTAATGCGGGGACACCAGGACAGGTCCAGGGCGCGCAGCTTCTGCAGATTCTCGGCAATCAACTCTACTCCATCGTCTGTCAGTTTGCTGCATCCGGAAAGGCTCAGCACCGTGAGATGCGGCAGGGAGTGCACTGCAATTGGTAGAAGAGTTGGACAGAGTTTGGCATTAGTTTTGGGCATCAGCTGGGGCTCTAAAAGGAACAAAGGCATTCGGCTCACGTAGCCGGCTGCAGATGCTCCACTTCCCGGGGATCACGTCCCAGGAAATGAGTCCTCTGGAATTCGAATATAAGTATGGTTGCACCGCTAATGTTTTGCTATTGGTGCCTGGAGTTGGCCCACTTTAAATACATATTTGAGACTTTAACATCAAGATTTCATTATCCGTCTTTTGCTCTAAAAAGGTAAGGATGTACTTACTCTAAGCAAACTAATAGTAATCTTTTATCTAATAACCTTATTTGTTGGACTTTAATAGGAATAAATAGGTTAATTTATAAAAAACAAAATGATGTTAACATAAAATGTCTGGAAATGTGAGATTGAAAGCCACATAATGCTATTATAATTTGTCGTTATTCATAAGATGAGGCAGCAAGAACCTATTTACATATGTACAACTGACTTGCTCCAGATTTGTTGCTAAGCTCTATTCAGTCTTAAGATAGGCATAGACTAATGTGTCATGTATCTAATTACAAGGGCTATTTAAAGCCCACAGCATCAACTGCTGTACTGTTCTACTTAAACTAAGGCAGTTTGTCTCAGCTCGTCCCATTTATGTCGACATCAGTTTGCTCTGTTCCACATTTTGCAGTGTCATTTTCTGAAATGTTTGTGCTGCTTCTGTTTCTCTGCTCAATTCTCCTTGCGAATCAGGGATTAGGTGTCCTTTCTGTGGATAAAGGCACTAACCCTGTTTCTTACAGCTTAGGTTGGAGTATGTGAGGATTGTTTGGGAAGAATTAAAGTAGTATATTAAGCCAGATACTTTTTTACTTTAAAGGAAATTTTAATGTTTTTAAATTTCTAAAACATTTTTAATAGGTTTCAAGGAAAACAACTGTTTCCAGTAAATAGCGGTTTATTGTTAAGCTTGAAGTAAAAGTTCAATTTGGAGTGAGATCCGAGACAACAACCATGAGAGCGCGGGATTTAGCTGTGTGTGTCCGATCAGTGCGTGTTAGTGTGCCCTGCGCGTAAAAACAAGAAAATGCCGAATTTAACATACAACTAATGGTAGAATGGTAGCTGCTCAGTTTAAATAACTTTAACAATTATTGGAATAATTCCTGAAACTAAATTTCCAGCAGATAGTCCTAACACAAATGTTTAAGTGTCATACACATTGGAATTCTGTTAATGACAGGATATGTATCTTCTTGATTTGTCTAGTAACCCTATATATTGCCCAAACCTTGCTTATGTTTATTTTCCTCATTTCTAATCGATTGTTCGACAAACCACAAACAAATAAATCATATTCCTTTGGCTGGATGACATCAATCTAAATATTTTCCCGGAAAGTCAAAGAGTTAACTGTGCCTGCTGATTATGGATAACCGATAGTGGGTAATGTATAAGTTATATTTAGTAACGGTAGCTCACACAACTGCAATTACCGTTCGTAAGCCGCTTAGACTTTGCTAATGGGAATTAGGCATATTCCCTTGGCCAGAAGTGGTGGGAGGGGTGACTGTATTTGGAGCCCAAGAGGACGACACGTGCGGCGGCTGCGTAAACAAAGATAAAGCACCCAAAGAAAACAAACTCCAGGGCAATATAATGCGTGTGTATGTTTGCGGGAAACTCCCAACACCGCCCCATTTCCCATCCCCAAGCACTTCATCCCTTTCTCAAAGTTGAAAGAAGTCGAAAAATGCAGGGTCCGGTCGAGTAAGCCGCTTTGTATTCACTTAGAGTCACTCCATATCACCTCAGACTCACTGAGAGAAAAATATTGAACTATTTTCAGAGTACAAAGTATACAGGCTTTCTTAAATTATCCTAACTGGCTCTTAAGTGAGAAGTGTATCTAGAAAAGTACTAAGTTCCCTTTTTTCTTCCAGTGCACTCACATATGCACAGAAATGTGGGTGGGTATGTGGCCCACTTTGGTTACCCCCATACACTCAGAAACTTAGATACTTTCTAGGAGCAGTAGAGCGCTCCTCTTGTTTGGCTTCTGACCAAAAAACCACAAGGCATACGAAAAGCGATTTGAATTACAAAAAATATGCGCCAACGAGCGAATCCGCACGAAGATAACCGCGATACTAGCTTCTAAGCCAAATGGAAAACTAACGCAAACACAAAACTGAATGGGGGGCCTATGAAAAATTAACACAACCAGCTCGCTGTGCTCGACTTTTCTATTGACTAACTTAGCTCAAACGAAGCTTTTATGCACTCAGTATAAAGAGAATCTTTTTTTATTATTTTTCCAGCGGAGTTTTGGAGAGTTTGGAAAGGGACATAAATGAAAAAAAGGATTGGTGAAAGAAAATGAATAGGCCAGGGAGAATTATGTTCAAAATATGGATTAAATAGTTGTGATAACTTTAGTTTTTAAATTTCTTATTAATGATAACGAATTTCTGTTTTAACAAAATGAGACCGTAATTTAAAATAACTATTAAGTAAATAAGACAGCTATTTGATTATAATATTAGGTTTTATTTTTACTAATGTCAAAGACGTTTTAAAAAAAATTTCCAGCTTCAAATACTTAACCGCCTCAAAGATACCTTAAAAAGCATTCTTTAAACAAAGTACTAACCGAATTTGCCAATTCAATTTGAATGTGCTGATATGGTATCTGATTTGTAATAAGTTTGCATTGCCCCACTCCGTATACTTGCGCCCGTTTAAGAAATTGTAGCATCCGAGGAAATCCCCTTTCATCTGAGTTTATATTGGCAAAGCAAAGGAATTGCAAATCCATTGCTAATGCATATTCAGGCGTAATTGAGGGGGCGACGGTGGGTGGTATATTTGTCGAGAAGCCACAGCAGTGACAATAACCGTAACGCTGACGACCAACTTGGCTAACGTTTGTGGGGTGAGAGCTCTTGGCCAAGTTGCCAGGCAACGCAGCTCCTCAAGGAGCTAACTGTAATTGTATCTATCAAGCGGTGGATGCAGTACAATCCAATCCACAATGGCAACGGCGACGCCCCAAAAGCTAAAAACCGCAAAAACATCCAACGACAAAGGCGCCTCTGTGCACACAAACATCTAGCGCAGACAGTAGAGATTCAATAAGGTGAAATACAAGCTAATAAAATGTATTGTAAATATTTCTGTCCGAATTTTAATTTTAATTTAATATTTTATTAATAATGAAACCCAGAAACTAAAACTAAATTCGTGTCTTCTGATAAGAAAAGTTCGTGTACTGACTGGCTTGACTGTACGTATGTGTATTTATACCAGGCACAGACGTAGATACAGTAACGATGCACTTAGTCGGGTGTTCGTGATGGAAACTGTGATTAAGAGCCGCCGGCGACACAGGCAGACCACAATGCAATAGGGATTGGGATAATCCCGGGCGGAAAGGGGTGAACTGTGATCGATAATGATCGGAGCCAGAGTGACATCGATTGAATTACACTCAGAGCGAATTCAGAGCATGGGCATTAGCGTTAGAAGCCCCTCAGATCAACCAGATCGCCTGAGGAGTCGTCGGCGCTTATTTATCACGCCTGCAATCAACGTTGAAATTCATTTCGTTATCAGCGCTCCATCGACGCGCATCCATCTCGTGATTTTTAAATTCAAATCCCCATCCGAAACAAATTCCTAATCACCTCAGGGTCCAACTAATTATCAAGAGTTCCAAATCCTGTGTTGCAGTTTCGTTTTGTGACCGACACTAACGGGTAATTGTATGGCCTAAAAGGAGCCGCTCACCAGGATTACTCGTTTTTGCGATCACAAATCATGAAATTGCAGCAAAAAGCAGCTAAATCAGGGAACTAGTGAATATAATATATGGATTTGTGTGAATATAAATGATAAAAGAACTATAAAGATCTGATCCTTGAATTATTATCGTGTTGTGAAATTTGACTTTTGATATCATATCAATCTAGAAAATATGTGAATAGAAAACTAAAGAAGTTAAAATAAATGTGAACATATTTGTAAAGACTTTTGAAGAATGGTTTGTAAATGATTTTCCTGTTTTTACTTTTCATTTAAAAATTACCCTGATTTACGTTTTCTTCCTAACACCAGAGCTTGTAATAGAAAAGCAGTTTATAAAACTTAACTATAAATATTTTAAATAAATGTTTTTATATATAAAAACAGTTGACTTTATTTCAGACTGTCTGTGAATGCTTTACACATTTTATTGATAAGCAAATTGAATGCCAAAGTAAATATAAGTTAATCTCGAAGCGATTACCTTGTTGAGTTCAAGGAAGAGTTGCAGATTACCTAATAGGTCGACGGAAATAAAAAACGTAAAATACTAGGGTTATTCTATCACATAAATAGAATTTAACTTTAAACATTTCAGGATCCATCTCATTATTAACTTTCGCATTCATTTTTGGCTGTGCGATAGGTAGGGAAAATCAAATTACTAGCCGCCAAAGTTGGAAAATGATTCATTCGTTCTATGAATAAATTGGGTTCATTTTCTGGGAATTTCCGGCGGATTACGAGAGCCGAGGCGAGGTAATGGGAGCAGGGAAAAGTCCACCTGGCTGCTTGATATGGAAATGGGAATTCGCGCTTGACAAGGCAGGGCTTCAGAAATAGTGTCCCAAATCGTGGGTTTATATTCCCATTCCAGCACACACGCACACTCGTTGAGACAGAGACAAGTGTCAATAGAAGGACATGGGAATGGGGCGGGGTAGCCAAACATGTCGGGCAAACAACTTGTAACTTGTGTATCCATGAGATACATTTACATTTCCCATAACAACTAGCGACGTTTATGCGAGGCTCGTTTGGCATTCAGCCTCAGTTTCTGTTTTCCCCAGCTCGCTCTGACACATTCAAAAGCTCTACTTTTCCCATTTTCCATACACATGCAAGAAAAAACACACGAACAAAAATTTTTACTTTTGTCGTTGACAGTTCAAATTTGATTTGCTCATTAACAAAAAGTTTC